ATCGCGTGCTTTTGGATGGTTTAATGATCATTTCTATTTTTGATGCGTAAATTACGCAATTCTTAAATTTTTTATGAAAAACTAGCTATTGCCCGCGACTTCGTTCCGGCAAATAAAAATGTAATTCGTTTTACTCTCTTGTTCTAGACATACTCGTAGTAAGATTTTATCAATAAGATTAGCAATTTTAATTTAAACAAATTAATTATATAAAGTTTTGTCAATAATGCACTTCAGCGCGCCATCTCGAATTCAACTATTTAACTATAACTATGATTGAATCTCAATGTCAAATTTTATTCTATAGGAAAGAGCTGTTTTGAGGATTTTCCCGGCAATTATTCGAATTTTTCGCACCTTTTAAACCTTCCTTAGACCTCCACGAATAATTCAAGACCAAGATAAGATAAATCCGTTCAGCCGTTCTCGAGTTTTAGCGAGACTAACGAACAGCAATTCATTTAGTTATGAAGAATACCAGTAATATCGCGTGCTTTTGGATGGTTTAATGATCATTTCTATTTTTGATGCGTAAATTACGCAATTCATAAGATTTTTTGTTAAAAATGAAAAATGTGTATTTTGGGTTGCCTAGGTACTTAAAATGTCAAAAACTTGAAACATAACCTATTTTATTGCCTATATATTTTATATTTTTGCAATATTTAAGTTTTATGATACAAATTCAAGTAAAAAAGTATAATTTTTAATTTCTCGATAAAAAATTAAATAAATAATCTTGTCAATGCGCAATTTTATTAATATTAACATTACACGTGCAGAAAATGTAACTTTTTATGTTTTTACTTCAATTCTATATAATTTTATTAATAGTGTGTGGCCAACATAAATTGTATGTTCGTATAATTACAATTAAAAATGTTATTTGAATTTTAACGATAATTGCCATTCGCCGCAGTATATTTTTTCTTTGTTACAACTTTCCAACGCTTTAATTTCCACTATTACTAAAATTGTTATTCGTTATTTTCCATGACATTGACACTCGAGCAAAAATTCAAAACTTCAATGAAAACTCAACTTTCGATCGGTAATTGTTGTAGAACTTTGAACTTTTCGAAATGTTTACATTACGTTGAATGCTATACAATTAGAAAACGCGCGAGCGGGTCATAAAGCGGTGGGAAAATTCCGCCTGGTGAAAATTTGCGTGGAAAATGACGAAATGAAATGAAAGCGTCAGAGTTAAACAAACTAAGCGCGTCGTAGTTGGCTGACATGCGAAATGCGCTCGATTTAACACAAAGTCAACAACAATTACCAATCGCGCTACGCACATTACCGATGTTGATGTTTATGTCGACTTTTATTGTGTTATTGCATAGTTTGGCGTTAAATACTTAACAATGCGGATAAATTGCTTCAGTTTATGTTTAAAACGCGAAAATTTAACCTAAAATGTTTACTATTTTGTTTGTTTCCTGTTTAAACATGCATAAATGTTTTTATTTATATTTTACAAGTTGTAAAGTGGTAATTATTTGTTTATAAACTTGAATTTTGATAAATATATGGCGGGAAATTAAGAATTATCGCGTAAAATGTAATTTTTAATCAATTTTAGCAAAAATTTTACTTTTTCTACCAATTTTAGAGGTTTTGTGCTGCTCCGTATGCAAATGCGCATGCGCAAGCTCCACCCCGTGACTAAAACCCGTGACTAAAGTACTTTAATCACGTTTTTATGTTTAAATTTAAAAATTACCGCGTAAAATGTAATTTTTAACCAATTTGAGCAAAAATTTTACTCATTATGCATTTTATATGGTTTTGTGCTGCTCTGTAGGCAACTGCGCATGCGCAAGCTCCGCCCCGTGACTAAAACCCGTGGCTAAAGTACTTTAATCTCGTTTTGTGGTTAAATTTAAAAAATTACCGCGTAAAATGTAATTTTTAACCAATTTGAGCAAAAATTTTACTCATTATGCATTTTATATGGTCTTGTGCTGCTCTGTAGGCAAATGCGCATGCGCAAGCTCCACCCCGTGACTAAAACCCGTGACTAAAGTACTTTAATCACGTTTTGTGTTTAAAATTAAAAAATTACCGCGTAAAATGTAATTTTTAACCAATTTGAACATAAATTTTACCCAATGCACCACATACAATAAATAGGTTATGACATTTGATTGAATTATACATATTAAACAATTAGCAATACAAGTTGCAACTTCTATATTTACCAATGCGTAAAATATAGAATGTTTACCTAGAAATTTATGTCTGCATGTTGTTTTACCAATGCATGCATGCAAAAACAAAACAATAAATTATTAGCTACACTAATGTCAGAGGGAAAAATTACACCCGCGAAACAATGTCATGCATTTCAAAACACTAAGATTATTACTATTTATTCGGTTCGAGACTTTATTTATAAATCAACTGGAATTATAACTTAGTAGGGCAAGACAACCAATCATTAAATCGCTCAATTGCAATGACATTAAAAATATATGCAACCAAACAATCACCCAGCTAACTTTAGACTTCCAGCACTACAAAAATAAATGAAATAAATTCATTCGCGCTGTGCAAGAAGTAAAATCAGAAACTTGTTGAAATGTTTACATGTGTCATTAGCTAATTATCGTCTAACATTTCACGAAACCAGGTGCCCGACGTCGGTGCGAAGTGTATTTGTGTAAATTACCGTTGTGCGCATATCAAAACAATTGGTGGTGTAAATATTTAACGCACACCGTAGAGATTCGCGAATAAATCCAGCTCACAGCCTTTAATATTTACATTCCACCTGACCCAGTGAAAACAATCAAATGTACATCGAATTTAATTTACCTCACGTCTCATGTCTGTCGAGAATGTAAAATGTTTCTAGGTTTAACATTTAAGCAATAAGATTTAAAATTAATGTGATTCTTAAAATATTAATATTAATTTTAAAGCTTGCAACATCCGAAAGCAAACAGGTTGGGCAGGTGATATTTGGTGTTAGTAAAATAGTAAAATTGCATTTCGTCATGTGACATGTGACATAATCAATATTTATTAAATATTTATGTTCTGTGTGCAAACTTTGAGTAATTTAATCAAAAACCATCGAATTTGTCGATTGCCAAACGTGGTTTTGCTTCCTGCATGCATTAAACACGATGTTTTTGTTTATTTTTAGCTTGTTACGAAGAGTTTCACGTTTCCCCTTCCGGCTTGCTTAAATTTGTTGATTTGATTCGAAATATTGACATTTATTTCGAAATTCTAAGTTTAACGAACTCAAATTAAAACGATTTTATAATAAAATGATTTGAGTTAGTTTAATTCTAATTGCGTGTTAAATAAATCATTGATTAGTCATTATATTCTTAGAATATCTGAGGTAAGCAACCAGATGTGTCACTAGTTTCTTTGTGTAATATAACCAAATTAAAAATATGCAACCAAGCATACACAAAACAAATTTTTGTATTTTCTGACATTGATTCAAAATTATGCAACCAAGCATACACAATTCCTTCTCTTCTGACATTGACTCCGAACACACTGCCTCATTACGGAATTAATCAGGTAATCAAAGAGTTAAACGTGCGAGCAGGCCGAACAAGTGTTCTCTTCGATTCCGCATTCTTTCCGCTGCACTTCGACACTCGACCACTCGACACGTACCAGCATGATCTTTCTATCCTTGATATTTGCCATTCTTTTTCTATATTTCTTCGCCGCTCGTCGCAGCACGAGCGCTTAGTGCACACCGTGTTTGTTCTTCCGTTTGCGTCGCGTCGGTTCACTGCAGACGCATCTCCTGCGAGATGCATCTGTATGCATGTCTACATTATGTCCCCACAAACTAACTGTAAACTCTACTCTAGGTTTAAAATCACAAGAATTCATGAATTTCAAACGCAACCCTTTATACATCAAGTTTTAGTTCTTAAAATTTCCGCATGATGGCGCTGTGACCCATGAATCTTTTCGTATCACTTGGTATTAATAGTGTATAATGTTTTGTATGCGAGTTTGATTCTTCGACCTCTGTGCGGCTGTAATGCATCTCCGTGAACAATAAATATCGCGCAAGGTGAGGCAGGGCAAGCGCAGACGTCGATGATTAAACGCGCGCATCTCGCATAATGCACTTTGTTGCGCATCCGCCATCTAGCGAATCTTATGAATGCGAATAGTAATGAGCGCAGGATGAGAGGAAACGCGAAAAATGGCGCTCACCGTACGCGCATTCGCTGCATTAGAACAATGGCATGCTCGGGCTTAATTAGGATATTACTGGAATACGATTGAATGTTGTCGTGTACAGAGATAGGAGTACAAGAGCTTGCATACATTAAAAACCAACAAGTTTATTAAGATCATGAACAATGCATGTGTTTTTTTGAGTAAAAATTTAAGTTGGATGGATTTTATGTATGTTTGACTTGTTTTCACGGCTGAACCACGTGGTCTATTTTGTTGAATTTTTGTTTATAGAGAGTTTGGGGTATGGAGAAGGACATAGGCAACTTTTTTTCAAGAAAATTTTATTTAAAAAGGGTAAAATAAGGGTTGAAAGTTTGTATACTGTGTTTTAGTGCGATTATTCCAATCTAGATGGCGTAAAATTTACAAAAGGGACTTTTGTAGTTAAATTTTATATGACACGTTTGTTTTGACATTTTTTAAACATTTAATTATGTTATTATCTTTTTAATTCCTCGGAAGTTATAATTTTTTCATTTTTACGACTATTTACTGCTATATTATGGAAATTCAAGGCGATAACGCTTTATCCTAATACTACCTAAACTGACTTAAGTAAAAATACACTTTTCCTTAAAAAGTTATGCAACCAAAACAATTAAATGACAAGAAATTGATTAAACGTAAAATTAAATATAAATTCATCGTCTGTCTCTATCTCTATCTCTGTCTCTGCATGCGTTGTTTACTTGCGTTAATATGAATTACAATTACGATTGTGCGACGCGCAGTGCGCCGGGAGCGCGCTTAAGTCATACGCGCCGAAGCCACTCAGCACACAACTCGGCGGCTGTGCGTGCACTCTCAGTGAGTTACTCAGCCGGTCGCGCGTCGACTTGAGTCAGTCGCAAGGCGAACGCAGTTGTACGCGCACACGAAATAAATTCATATTGTTTAATAAGTTACAAGTGCGCGAACACGATCCATCCGACGCAAGTTACTCGTATATTTTGACTTGAATTAAAATAAGTGCTGTAGTGAATTGTTTCATTGGATTAATTCTTCTATTCTGATCAAGTAAGTTATACGAAATATAAAATAATCACATAGTTGGGTTTAATCGGCGGCTGCGTACTCGAAAAGCAGGTTGGAAACCGAAAACGTTTTCTCTTTAATCGAAGTTCAAGGAAGACCGAACCTGCTCGCCGCGAGATAAAATCGCGATTAATAAACGAGCACGAAAATAATTATTTCGGATTTATTAAACGCTTCAAACATGAAAAATGTATAACATATTAAATCACGTGGTTTACTAGGAGAAAATATTTATTATAAATTATTTTTGTTTGTGGTTATTGTGATTCACTTAAAAAACCTTTCTGTAACTTTCCAGACGTTAAAAATAATTAATTTAGGTTTTATACCACAAAACCATAGGAAATTTTTGTAGCGTCAGTCATCTGACATCTTAAAATGTTTTTGTGGAGTAATTATCACAAAAAGACGCATAATTAATGGATGTTTGGGTTCATTCCCATTTTCTGTCGTGATTGTGGCTGAAATAACACTCGAAACTCTTTAACATTCAACATTATGTATTCGTTTGTGTAAATAAAGGTGTGGGCGCATTGGAGTCATCAAACGAACCTCCAAAAGTGCACTTTGACTCACATTCACTCGGAAATTGCCAGAAAGCTTACCAAATAAAGTCGTGCGATTTAATTTCTTGTCTTTTTATTTCCATTCCAACATTCTCAGTTGAAAAGGTGGAAAATAAAAATAAAAGCTTGAAATTTACGATGTCCTGCGTTGGAAACAGCAACCGCCTAAATTATGCAAATCGTGCCCACATTCTTTTCCTCTTCTTTTATTGGACGTGTTAATACTACAAGAATTTTAACAAGCAAGAAGTGTTTGGATATAAAAAATGTAAAAAATGTTTAAACACCCTGTAGATATTTAAATGTGAGGACCAATGACCTTCCCTTTTGGTGCCATCGGCAGAATTCGCGATTTTTGTCCGGCGCGATCGGCAAACGTGAAAATTTGATTTAATTACTAACCACGTACTGACATTGATTAGCACTCGACAACAGTAAACGACGTGTTGCTGGCCATAACTAATCACTTCCGATCGCACACCTTGTTGAAATATTTAGTCTATGCACAAACAAAGCAACTGGTCAAAAGAAATACAAAAGAAATTCCTGATTCGAAATTATGATTGAAATTAAAATTAAAATTAGAAACTTTTTGATTAATATTCAAATTTAGTTTGATTGCAAATGTGTTTTGAATGTTTGAATATTATATCATTTTGCGTGCGGGTAATTTTAAACAAATCATAATTAACTTAACTTAACTTTTACTTTTTCATGCGGTTTGGATTATTTTTTGCTTGGAAGTCAAATTAAGTAAAAAAAAAGTAAAAACAACCGGAATAATAAATAAAACAAAACAACAGGTACGAGTGATACACAAAACTAGTTTTTTTGTTGGTAATTTGTTATTAATATGCATATTTTTAGCATTTATTAATTAATAGTTTATATTTAATTAGAAACCGGTTATTTGCATACAATATATTTATAGTTACGTTTTTTTATTGCAGAAAAAATTGAAAATATAATTTTTTTGCTTCCACCTTTAAAACGGCACTTTTTCCACGGTTTTGGGACACAAAAAGTGGTACTTTAAATACGGATGACCCAAGCCATGACTAAAGTATTTATAAATTTAAGTTTTATTTCTTTAAGTTTCTAATTATTTGCATACAATCAATAGTTATGTTTTTATTGTCGAAAAAATTATCCAGAACAAAAAAAATTGTATTTTTTAATTGTAATTTCCATTATCTTAGTAATTTTTAGCCATTATTAAAATTCTAAGTGTTTTTGCATATTTTTAAACATTATAAGTACTTCCAAACGATAAAGTCACCTTGAGCCGCGCAATTAATTCGCTTAACTCGCGATGTACGTCGATTAGTTCGATAAACTTAATTAACATAAACATACACAATACATAAACGATTACAATTTGTGCCCGCCGCAATCAACAAACATTTAAATATAATATTCAATGAACTCATGAACAATTACAATAACTCCTAACCTAAAATCTTCGCTATTCTAGTTTTCTATTTTTTTTTTGTTGCGAAAATGACATCTTCAACTCAATCCTCGGCTGGATTAACACGTGCGCATTCAGTTATGAAGCAACTGTATCTTTTACATGCCACTTAAAGCGCGCGCAATAATATAATCCGCTAGTTCTCTTCATCTTCCATCAACGCTACCATATTTAACATGCGTGGAGGAGCCTGGCATCTCCATCTCGTTCACCATATTTAGAGTTTTAGCAGTACTCATGTGCAAGCGGAACTAATATTAATGTGTGTGCTTCCATACGGCGCATGCACGCAGAGAGCTCAAAATAAATTGGGAATGTCTGTAATTTTAGCTGTTATATAAAGTATATCATTATACTTGTGTATTATACTTGGTCTTACAATAATATTATTAAAAGTATTTTGGGTTGCCTAACTTATATTAATCTGTCATCTAATAGAGGCGTAGGTTTATTCGCACACCAAATTTTCATAGCATTTTGAAGATAGAATATTTGGTATTATACCAAGTGTTATACTAATATTATATGTATTTTGGGTTGCCTAACTTGTACAAGTTCATAATTTGCCCACTAGATGTCTATTTTAATCACACAATTAAATTTGAGCCATCATTTCTAAGGTTAAACAATTATGCATATATAACAATAGTACATGGTCCTTCGGCCTAACTTATATTAATTCATATTTTACCCACTAGAGGGAGTTTAATCACACGATGAAAATTCCACCAGCGATTTCTTGAGTAAAGAAAGCGTAATTATTGTTAATTACTTACAAATAAATAATGGGCGGATGAGGCAATTGTAATATGTCGAAATTTTACGCAATATCCCCACACGGTTTGCTAAACGTTCGTAATTTATTTCTTCTAGGATTAACTTGCGTTACCACAAATACCCAAAGCCATAAAAAGTGAGAACTGTCGAGAAAAAAGCACCAACAACAACGTTTGATCTAGATTCACAAAGATTTTTAATTGAATTCACTTTTGCTTTTAGTTTCGTCAATCAAGCAATTAATTGCCGCGTTTGTTTCACTCTACTCTAATGTAATTAAAATTGATACAATCAGCACACAATGATGAAACACAATTGTTTCAAGTAAAATCTTGTTTCATTCTTACATGACACAGAATAGTACACATCTATTTACTTTGCAGGTTTCGCCGGATACCCTGCAAACGTTGGGTGAAAATATTGTTATTTTTTACACTTGATTTACCGGTTGGATCGTCATTAACATTTTTGACGAGTGTTTGACACGTCGAGTAGCTGCTATTTTAAGTGGTTGCCGATAAAAACTGTGGAAATTACGATTTATTATTTAGGTATACATTTGTTTACGACATTAGGTATGTTCGGTTGAAATAAAAATTTTTATGAATTTATTTATGCCGCCAGACGATTGTCGTCACATTACATGTCGAAATCTGTGTAAACGTCGAGTATCAGACTTCAAAGGAATCAAAGGATTAGATAAATCTTCTCGGGCGTTTTGTAGGAATCCTTTTGAGGTTATCTGCGTTTTCTCTGAGATTTAGATGATATTAAGAGTCGTAATTTAATTATTTTATGATTTTACGATCTTTTTGCTATTTTCTGTGATTTCTCAGAAGTTTTAGCAAAAAATTATTTTGAGGTTAAATAATAAAATTTACAGCCTGATTTAAGGTTAGGCTTTGAATTCACTGCAATTTAATTTTTTAAAATGCCTTATTGAATTTTTGAAATTATCTTCGCGCTCATTACAATGAAAATACGCATTTTGTTTTAGAATAACACACAATAATATAATACACATTGCGCACCTTGAATGCATTTCTCTGTTTGTTTGTAAATTATCAACAGACACCTGATTGTTTTTCATGTTTAGAGAATTACTTGTCGGTGTTGATATGACAAACATTTGGACAAGTTAGTAAACTAAGTTAAGGTTGCTGATTGTTTCATTGCGGAATCGAATAGTTGTGATAAGGACTCAATGACGCAAAAGCAAGCAAGGCAAGTTCAATTAAAACTCTCTTGTTTGTACTTGCACAGTAAACAAAAAAAAGAAAAGTGTTTGCGCATGGATTAAAATTGAACTTGAAAAATGCGGTCGTCTATTAATAGCTCATCAATTATTTGCTAAGTTTTAATTTAGTTACTAAGTTATTATAGTATATTAAGTATCATGGGGCTTAAAGGGAGTTTTAGTCAATGAGTTTTAACTCAATCAGCGTTTAATATTCTTTAGCCACGTGATGCTTATAGGGATTTTTTTATACTTCCACTGAATTTCCACGTCTTGTGCCGTACCGTAGGCAAGCGCAGGCGCAAACTCACCCCGTGACTAAAGCCCGTGACTAAAGTATTTTAATCATTTTAATGTCTCAAAACCCTGAAAAAACTGCCAAAAAATTAATTAATTTAAAAAATAAAACAATAAATCAAAACTGATTTTTAAATGTTTTATTTTGTTCCAGATCATCTTCCTGAAGGTCACCACCAACATCTAATGTAAAAGTTAACGCGTGTTTCGCAATCATGCGATAATTACTCGCTCATCACATAAAAGTGCAAAAGTTTGCGCAGATCTAATCGCTAGTTCTAATACCGAATAATTTACGCGAATTTAAACCAAGTGCGAGATGACTGAAGACGACGTCATTGACGCGGCGATATTATCACGGCCACCACGGCCCAAAAAGGTGCCGTCCATCGAAGCACTAAACAGCGAGATGCCCGGCAGGATATTCGCCAAAGATCGCGGCCGGCGAGCGCTGAAAACTTTCCTTAATAAACTACGTCTTCGGCGCTGCGCTACCGCCAGCATCAGTCAACCGGACCCGACATATAAAGTTGCCTACCAGGCAGTTCCCAGTCACAGGATGGGCTGTTGTAAGATATCTTTATAAGTTTGCTATGTTATTTAATATTTTGTTTGCGAAACCTTGCGCTGAATTTTAAGTGCGAATTGATTTCTCAATTGCGTCAAACACATAATTAATTCTTAAAATTAGCATAGTGATCGGATATGGATGACCAAATTTATGTTAATAGATTATTTATAGTCAAACACAAGAAATAATCAATTTGCATAAGTTGCAGCAACAATTCCAAACTAGTCTCATAAGAATTTAGACTTTTTGCGCGCGCCATCTTGAATTTGATTAGATCAACCGCTTCAAGGTTGTTTACGGCCTGCCAACGAGCAGGTTTCGGTGCTGCTAGATCACAATTAAGAGTAAGAGTGTCTAATTAACACTTTTTACTACATACTCGTTTCGTGAATTTTGTTTGTCGTTCGTTTGGCGCTCGCCGCGTAATTATAATTAATGTCGAATTAAACACATGGTATGAGATGATGGATTCCAGTCCACGTTACGTTCGAGTATCAAATTTGAGAAGTCATTACGCCGTGCGTAATGGTAATGTTTTTCTCAGATGGATATGACCTTCTCGTGTCTCATGTCTATTTCGCCAAACATGCAATCAAACATCTCGTAAAAATTTTCGGACTTGTATCGAATGCGAAATCATGTCAAACTTAAAATTTAAATTTAATTGAATTAAAATTTCGGTAATTACTGATTTGCGAAAGTGATATTTCGAAATGTTAATTACACGAATAAAAATTTAGCAATTATTGATTTTTTGCGGATTGTAAGTTGGTTATAAACTGAATTACTTTAGTAAAAATGCCGGTAAATATTTCCAGAAGTCTAAATATGAATTCCGCGTGGCTCAGATGGATTCACTTGTGTTTTGTTTAAATGATTTTGTTGTAACGCAACGTGCACCCCAACAAATTAGCTGAAAAATTGTGCTTAAGTTATAGAAATTTTCATTGCAATTTGTAGGGATGTTGGGATCATAATTACAACAATATTTCAAATGTTACCATCGATGTCATGTCTTTAAACAAATATTCTAGCTCATAATCTGATAGAAATTAAAATATTTTTCGTTGTTACACAGAAAAATTAATAAAAATCCACAAAATTCTACAAATATCAAACTAAAATCATAAAATTTTAGTTTTAAACATTATTATTTTGTCGGTTTGCTAAATAAATATAATTAGCTGATGTTTTTGGCTGGTAACTTGTTTGAGATGAAAAAATATTTTCTTATTAAAGATGTTTTCGGTCGACTTTTTGATTGATGTTTAACGAATCTGCCCGAAACTGAGCAAATCTTGTTTTCGAGCCTTAGAGCCACGCTCATCACCAGTTGAATCCAAATAAAGCGCAAAAAATGATAATATAATAATAATTAATCTCTGGCGAGTATGCGCCGATGCCGTCTGGAGTTAGCAAACGTGATATTGGCGTCTTTGAAAAATCGGCGAGCATTCTTCGACATTCTGTAGCATTCCAGCAGATTCCATGCGGTAGATTCGCATTCTCTCTCATCGGCGCACCAAGCCAAACGACGCTCGTGGTGAATGTGTCGCTGGCGAGCAGCGCATCGCGTACATCGAGCCGCGTTTCGCTTTCAAAACTATTTTAAGTAGCCGCACTCCTCTAATATTCTACTTAGGTTAATTGTTTCCTTATAACTCCGGTACGCTCGAGCGGCGAGTGGAAGCCGCGATGCTCGATTTTCTTGCGGCGCGAGTAAAGTTTCACCGTTCGGCGTCGTTCCACAATGGTGCATAATGACCGGTGCATTCCGATTAAAAGAACCAACCGCAGGGAAATACCCGCTACAACAATGCTGCAGAATGTAAAATGTAAAAATTTGCTATGAATTATATTGTTATTCAATCGATGTCGCGTGAATTTTAATGATTTCACTAGAAATTAATGAAAAATGTATGTTTGTGTCGCTGTAACACAAAAACCACTCAACTAATTTTGATAAATTTTGGTATGCAGATAGTCTGGACCTAGGAAAATAACATAGGCTACTTTTTATCGCGAAAATTTAACTTGAAAGGTGTGAAAAATACTTTAAAAGTTTATGCAACAAAAAAGATACATGAAACCTATAGTTAGATATAAAATATAATAAAATGCATCTGTTTAAAACCAATAAATGAATGCTGATTGCGCAAGCCTGATTCAATCGTCAATAAACACATAAACCTGCATGCGTTGCAGGATTAATTTATGCGTTAATAAATTAATCACCGTTCGCCGGGCGAAGAAACCGCATTGCCACACACTCGACGCGGGCAATAATTGACTAATATACGAATAATTCAGACATCTGCACGTGGAAAAAGTTGGTACGCCGCGCACATACCAAACCAACTCGCAACTTTTACACTTTATTAGTTGCATTTTATTTCGCCGCTTATATTGCTCTCGTGCTTCCTTACGGCCCGCACGTTAAATAATGAATGTTATAAAATGCATACGACGCACGTACGTACCTGTCAGGTACTTACAGGCATAATGTGCATAATTATATTATTGCTGCTTGTCGATATGCGGCATTATATTGCAATTAACATTTGGATATTTTATTGCGTTGGAATTCTAGGCAACTGTTTCTACGTTTGGCATTTGTAGGCATTTTAAATGCATAATGTAGTACAGCGCCCTCTGGATATTATATACATATATTAGGAAAACGTGTATTTTGGGTTGCATTCTCAAAAAATTTTGTTTGAAAATTAAAATTTTTATGTAATTTTGTAATTTCCTTCGGGTTTGTTTTGTAATTACACGTAAGTAATGCAAATGAAATAGTAATTATTTCGACAATAATTGCATCGCATAAATAAGTGCACTTAAAGAAAGAATTTTACTTTAATTTACATTAATTCCGTTGAGTGGTTTTCCTGACATTTTTGTTAATAATTGTCTGTTTGACCCGGCCATCATTAATTATTGTCACCGATGTGTGGCACTCTAGAACCACACACACGTTGTGCGTCAGAATGCATTTATCGATCATTATACACCGCGCACACCTCGTGCTTCATTAGAAAAATCAACAGGTACATTAAAAGTCAATTAGAAGACACATGTCCGTAATTCAACGCGACAAACGCACCATTTGTTCGATTTCAAACACTTTTAATGCATTAGTATTTTTTCTCCCAACGCAAACATAAATATATTGCATTAATAGCGCAGGTTTAATAACCGAGGAATTTAAAGATTATGCAACCGGCGTGGCGTGGAGATGAAGAAGTGCAGGCTTTAATAATGCGTCGGGGCCAGCGTTTTTCTTTTCTTCTCTCGATTATTACACGGACGCAGCCAAGCCAAGCACCTACCGCACAACGGGCGTATAAATCATAGAAAAAGCCGGCAGTTTTCAGCTCGCGGAACGATCTTACGTGCGATCTTTTTTATGATTCCGTATAAAATATACATTTTCATAATGAAATCGCCGTGATATATCTAACCGGCTCTTGTTGCATTCGCGAGCAGTGCGCTCATCGACACAAAAAAAACCCAAGCATCTTTTTCTTTTCAATCTTTTCATTAAGAATCCATTAATACTACTTTGTACATTATATACAGGGTGTTTCTAACTTAAAAATGTACATTTTTAACCTTTAACCTCAAAATTATGTTACATAACCTATAATTTACAGAATTACAGAATATTTTCATTAAGAAGCCTTTAATTCTACTTTGTACATTATATACAGAGTGTTACAGAGTTAAAATTTAATATTTTTAACTTTTAACCTCAAAATTCTCTTACATAACCTATAATTTAATTTTTATTACATGTGAATGTTATGCAGAATACTCCTGAATGCAATCACAGACAATTAAAACATAATAACTTCCTACAAGTGCATTAATCACCGCTACATCTGAATATTCAAGATGGCGGTGAATGCCAATCGCAATTCTAATACAAAATGTCCTTCAACGAAGTTAGGCGTAGCATAATTTATAGCCACTAACCTCTGAAGACTTTCTAATTGCATTATAGTAAAGAAATCGACGAGAAAAATGTTTTTCTGCTGTTGTGAGTGAAACCAGTCATATTTCTGCGAAAATCACGCGGTAGACACCGACTAGAAAATAATTTAATAATCTAACGACGTTGTAAAGCTTGTCGTGCGCACATTATGAGAACACGGCGGTCATCCAAGCAGAATTCCTCCGGAGTCTCTGGACAGCGTCATAAAAATAATCAACTCGCAAAAAACAAGACTGTAAAAATCACACGACAGCGTTATAATTTATTTTTGGGTGCAACTAACATTTATCTCACGAAAAACACGTCGAAATTATTAGACGCTAACCACAGCACAGCGTCTTGCCTTGTTAAATCATGCAAAACAGAGGCTTTTGCGAATGTGAAAGAGTCAAAACATGTTGTAAATATTACTCAATGACGTAAATGTAAATTCAACAGAGAATTTATGTTAATGTCTTAATTTTTGATTAATAATCGCGATTAATATTCTTATCAACTGAGATGTGTTATTAAACTTTGTTAAACAATGTGTTGTCGCGAGGCACACACATGAGCGCATTATTTAATTGTCCTTGTGCGCATCGGCCTTGTCCTTGTTTTATAAATCATTGTTTTTCGTAAGCGCAGTTAACCCAACGACAATGCTATACGTTTTCGGTGACAGGATTCGCTGAGATTTATTTCTTTTATTGCATTGCGGTATTTTATGCTTAAATTTATTTATAAACGTGGTGCAATCAAGCCATTTGCATAAATTGTGTATTTGATTAGAATTGAACATTTAAAGTCTCTAAATGTTTATGTTTTCGAATTTTTAATGTTTTGTTTTAGCATTTGATATTAGCATATTTTATTTGTCATTTGTCACATTAAAATTTGAATTCGTAAGATTCTATTTTTAGGTTAGAATCAATAGGTTAATGTTGAATCCTAACCTATAAAAGTAAACATTTGCTTATATCTCACGTGAACATTTCCTCGCCTTGGCTTTGATTCACATGCAACCATCGTGACATTATTAAATTAGGGACGCGCCATTATCCTAAAAATAGCCCATTATATTGAAAAATTGGATTGTTTGCGCCATTAACTTTGTATGAACTATTGAGAGGACGATCCCAGGACGTCAGTAACCCAATGAAGACAAATTCACTTTCAAACGAACGCAGCGATTAAAAAAACAAAATAAAAATTCTTTTGATACACTAGGTATAAAGGTTAACACATAGGCAACACACGATGCGAAGCTCAAGGACGAAATGATAAAATCGGATGAGCAAATATCGCATATATTGCATCTGGGACAACAAACGCGATAAAAATAGTCTGGCGTCATGTGTAAATGTTTTGAAAAATGTTCAACAAATTCGCGGATTTGTTGCTTTTAACTTTTAACTCATGTCTCGTATGTTTATTGTCGAAAGTGACATTTTAAAAGCTGAAATACATTTCCACGAAATATTATGAAAATTCCCCACTGGTATAATTTACATATGTAACTATAAATACTTAGAATGTTAAAAAAATATTTTTAAACGTAAATAAAATAAAATACAATGTTGACTAGTATTTTATTGATTGATTTATCGTTCATTTGTTCATATTGTCCAGCTGGTATTAAATTAAATGCAATTATACCTGCCGACAGTCTTACGTAATGTAATTGTGGGAGTTTTTCATCATTCGTTTCGAATCTTTTCGCAATAATTGTAATTGAATGTGTACTTACTCACTGAAAAGCTAATTTGTGCGCGTTTAGTTGCCTAAGTATATTTTTCAATAACATGATGAGCGTAACTGAAAGTAAATAAAACTATTACACAATACTTGAACATTATTTAAACAATAAAGTAAAATAAACATCTTGTTAACTTAAGAATTATAGGAGTGTTTGATGTGTTCACACCTTGAAATACTTAGGTTATCATCTAATTGAATATTTGGTTGCCTAATATTCAATTAGTGAAAAATTCTACACGATTGATGAGATTCCAAAGAATTGTACATGCGATTGCATAATATTTAACATTATCTGCGGTGTGTCTTAAGTTAAGCTTGATGCGTTTATCTAAGTTGCCACATTTTAGCGGCGAGGCGGATCGGCTCGGATCTGGATGCAAATTAAAATCGTGAATCACCTTGAGCTATTGCCTGCATTTAACCGCATAATTCCATCCATTAGTTGCTTCTATTTTTCATCTAATCGCATTTCAACGCCAACTTCATAATCAACCGCGAGACGCGCCTGTAATTCGACAGATGCAACCTGTGTGTCGATAAACAAGGTAGCATTCGAAATGAAAAGTTATCTCACACGCTGCTGCTGCAGAGTGGAGTAAAACTCAATTTCTAATGCCGCTTTACAAATCGCTTTGCAGCTCGCTTATTATTGCTTATTATCGATTCCGGTGAAGATCATAATGCGCTCGCAGCTACACCTCGCCAAATAGCCGCATTGGAATGGAGTAATGAAGAATTGAAGAAACCAGCCAACAATTCTACAGTTAGATATTGGCATCGTTTTTCATTTCAGCACCAGTCGAACGTTTCCAAGCTATTAATATCGCAAACATCTACTGAATGTTTACAAAAAAGTGAAATTCCTTTTCTGCAGGCTGCAAATGTAGTCAATTTCAATAGAAATGTTTTTTTTTTGTAAACATTCAGTGAGCACTTGTCTCTTTATACAAATTCAATAAATCACGCAATTCGATTCGTGCTGTTTGCGCGCCATGTCGTTCTTTTTTTATTTCTGCGCGTTGTGAACTGTTTTGATCGCTTTTGCTTTTTTTGCGCGCATTGCCGTGGCTTACTTTCTCATGTTCTTCATGTCTCAGGCACATTCCAAACGTACATCTTTTTTTTATTCAGTATAATCTAATAAATTAAAATTACGCGCGGTGATTATACAAAGGCTACACTGCAGTCATAAAAAAATTAAACAAAAAACTGTTTAAAACTTTTAAGGTTGTGTTCACACCTTGAAACACTTAGAAACAGTTAGCAATTTGGCGCAGTAACAATTAAATTTTAATTTATTTAGCAAATGAAATTATACGTGCACAAGATGAATTTATATTCGTTTATTTGTGTAGCCTTAATGTGCTTTCTTACGTAATTAACTTGTTATCAGCAGAAAAGGTAAAAGTCTAGCTGGATTTTTACGCCTGGCTTTTAACAAGAACAATTAGCGTTCGCTCGCGACTTGCGACGAGGAGCAAATATTTGCATGTTCGCCATAATTTGATAATGAAGGCAGTAAACTGCAGGCAGTGGCAGTAAATCATTTCCGTAATTACCTCTCGTGGCTCTCAGTCAGGTAAAGCAAAGACTTTGCCGTTTAGTTCAGATTAGAAGAATGCCACCAGCAGAATACAGAAACACGCGGATGTTTTAGAAATTTACATAATACTTGATACAAAAATATAAAATTTCTAGGAATTTTAATGAAAAAAAAGAGTTTTGAAATCAGTGTGATATAGGCAACCATTTATACATTTAATGATTTAAAAATGCTCCACCAGACGGCGCTGCTTCCAACTTTCTAATTATTGTTTATTTTGACTACTAATTAAGATAAAGTCTCACTCTGTGTTCATTAATAGTTCGTTTGTTGCGTTCAACAATCGTCTGCGTCCACCTGTGCTCATTGTACTGTTAGAATATCGACATCATTAGTTGGTTCTTCACCTTGCCAATCAATTTTTTGCACCAATCGTGCTCATATTACGCATTAAAAATCTCAAACGGAACTAAATTATCAGCACATTCGCTTATCAAGCAGTTAAAAGAAACCAGCGTAAAAATAGCCGGCAGGAATGCGCGCGCGTTTGGTCAGTTTTATCAGTTATCAAGGAGAATTTGCCTGATGCGCGCTGTGCACGCTGAAAATTATTGCGGTGGTACCAAAGGCCGTGACTGATAACGACTTCCTCAATGCTCAGCTCGGCTAATTTGAATTCGTTAATTGCGCACGGCGCACGAATTGCAAGCGCGGTATTTTATGCGCGAGGCGGCGTGCACACTCGGCACATTAATATACGCGCACGTGTCCGCACGACGATTAATTTCCCACGAAATGAATGACATTGCCTGATCTACCGAATGCTAATTAATGCTATTCATTATGACGACAGCGACGCGCATGAACAAACCGCAGTTACTGTACTTGCGGCGCGTACGTCAATAATTTATTTCATTCTTTTCAGCTGTTTAGATTTGAGGTAACTGTTTGTTATTTATTACGTTGTACATCAACATTAATTGTTGTTGGTACCGCGCGGAAATGTTCAGTGCGGTGTTTTAACGTAGGCAACTTTATTTACACATTTACATCAATGTTACCAACAACTGCACTGGAATAATAATATAATTGGTTTTTTGCTTCAGTAACAAAGTAAAACCTAACAGTTCATCATGGATTACAATTAATGACCATTGTGCATGTTGGAAATTAAATATTTTAAAAACCATGCTTTACACGAGTTAGTACTGGCAATTAAAGCGCGAACACCAGCGCGCATTAATTATTATTCATTAACAAAAGCTGGGGCGCTAATTTCCGTGTAATAATTAGCGAACGCGCGCGCGCTATCTGTAATAACCGATGCCGATTACTCGTAATGGTATTAATGAGATTTGCGAGAGAGTAAAATGGCGACGCGTGCAGATTGGTACCATTATGGCGCACGAGCGAAATGAAACATAAGTGCAAGTTAATAAGAACAATAAGCCGCGAGATTTAATAAACTTATTAACGGCTTATTTCCGCCCGGATAATTACGAAACTCATAATTGCGTCTAATTTTCTATGCAATCAGAAATACTTCTTATGATTATTTATTAATCTCTGATTGGTTTAATTTCAGGTGACGGTTGCGTTGAAAAACCGTTGGCAACCCTTTGGCGTAACTACACCCAGTCCTCCCGCCCAGATGTACGCATGCAGTTGACTGTAAGCGGGGGCGGTTTGAAAGCAACAACGAGGGACCACGGCCTCACGGAATACTGGGCAAACCGACTGACGACATGCGCAGCACCACCACATTTCCCCCGCCTTTTCTGTTGGGTGTACCGACATGAGGGGCGGCGATTACGGCACGAGTTGCGTTGTCACGCTGTGCTCTGCCCCTCCGCCTCCGTCGCACGGCAAATCGAAGAGAAACTCAAGGATTCCCTCACGCTGGCACTCAATGAGTTCCGGCGTGATAAAATCAGCAAACAAAATGCCCGCCTTTCATTGATCAACTCCATGTATGAGAATCCTACGATACCCAGACGGAAGATACTCTTAGCTACAGGATCCACCAACTATAGACCTCCTTTAGAACGTTCGAAATCAGCTCCTAAACTCACCAGCATTGAAGAAAACCTCGAGGAAACCGAGGAGATCTTTGAAGGGCGTTCGAGGAACAAATCAAGGGTTGCCAGCAACTGTGACCGGGCTTTATTAAACAAACGCAATAGTCTTAGGAGACAGTTGCATAATTCCAGCAAGATTTACCCGATTTGTGAGATAACCCAGGATGATTACGTGGATGAAGATGAAGAAGTCGATGAGGATGTTGATATTGATGAAATGACCGATGTGGATCGACAGAATCTTATCCTGGATAAACTGGTAGAGGATTCCTTTGCGAATGAAATACTCGAATCGTGTAACATGAACGGTTGGCTGCGAAACTTTGAAAAACCCGATGATGAAGGATCTTTATCCAGTGGATGTGAAAGTGCAAGCACTGTCACCTCGGAAACCGAATCAAACGCCTTCAATCCCATTATAGAAACATCGGAGGAAAGCGATGAGAGTACACCACAAAATGGCGGCCAAATCACAAACACGACAAAGACTGAATTAGATTTTAAAGTCGGCGGTTGCGTGCTCAACCGCGTGAAGAGTTTCGAAAGCAAATATTGTCCGATGAAGACGAACATCAACAACAACACGATTCTTGATAACGATGAGGTGTCGCTGATTCCCGTTGGTGAAACACAGCCGGATTTCAGTTCGTTGAAAGTATTCAAGAAGCGGTGTATGTCAGACACGGAGCAGGTGTTTGAAGATGATGGATCTGAAGAGGAAAATGGCAGCGCGTGTAGTGACGAGAGCGGATACGATGAAGTCATCGATTGTGCGAGTTCTGTCGCGAATATAGTCCTGGTTTAAACTGGAAAACTACAGAACGCGAATTAAATCCAAAGATTTCTCAAATCGTGCAGTTTGTTAAATTATTAGAAACGTGCGTAGATGGTACTAGATCAATGAGGTGAACATATCCATAGGTTGTATAGATTGTACCTACATTTATACTCATAAGAAAATTCTGTTTCGTTGAGTGAACGATTGAAAAGTGCAAATGTACGAACAGATGAAATTGTACATTGTTTCTGCAAATAGAACTAGCTAGTAATGTATTGTATGTGTATAAATAGCAGATTTATATCTAATGTTAGTTGTACTAGATTAATACACACTAATTGATAGACTTTTATTCTTGTGATGTGATTTCAAGCGGTTTATCAATATGACTGACTTGGATTAATTGTATTATAGTTACGCATGTGTGCAACAATTGTATTTGTTATTATTGTATTTTGTTTTTTATTTTCAAAAACATGTATTTTACTTTAAACTACAACAGCTTTTTATTTTTCTTCGCCATTGTGTTATGTATTGTCTATAGTGTAACAAAAAGGATAATATTGAATTGCTTTCGATTGCATGCTAGGATTGTTTTTATTTTTAAGAAAAAATCAATCTACATAGTGTCCGACCCCTCGGCAAGCACGTGTTCACCCCTTATATACAAGATTTCGTCGTAAATTAAATGTAACTCAGAGTAAAGCGCGTAGAACCCAAACAAAACGAACTTAATGAGTACTTTAAGAATCCTAGTCGTTTATATTAGCGCTTCTTACGCGCTGACCTTTTCTTCACCTGCGGTCACATTTGTGACACCAGAAGCAGTGGACTGAGTGTCATCTTGTGCTCCAGCGCACGCCAAAGATGGGAACTTCTTATGCAGAGCCTGTCTGTATTTTGGATGACTGTAAAATGAAATTATTTAGATTATATTGATTAAATGTTACTTGTTTTAGTTTTACCTGATGCCATAGACAATTGGATTGTAAACAGCATTGGCCTTGGCAAATACAGAGCACCAGATGGTCTGCAGGGGTGTAAGGTTGACAGTCTGGAAGATGCCCACCCAGTTGGTCACCAAGTATGGCGTCCATGCCATGAACCACAGGGAGATGGTCATCAGTGCAATCTTGGCCAATTTGCATTCGGCGCTGGTGGCAGCCGCCTCCGATGAGCGCAGGGATGCTACGTTCATCTTCTTGGCTTGTTCACGCATTGCTTTCTCATGAGCAGCAACAGCCTTAAACAAATAAACATTTAATCATTCTGTATATCAATAAAAGTATCCTTAGTGTTACCTGCACAATAAACCAGTAAGAGTAGATGATGCCAAACAGAGGCAGGAAGTAGACGAATACCGAGTATACCAGGATGTAACTCTTGCTCAACCATTCGGTGTTTAAGTAATCAGTACCACAGGCAGTCATGTTGCCTTCAGGGACATACCTGCAAGTTTTGGAGGGGTAAAATAAGAAAGAAGATGGGATTTACTTGATTCTGTTACCTATTCCAGCCGAACATTGGCGCAAGAGTCCAGATGCATGCAAAGAGCCAGATGAGAAGAATCCGAAAGAGCGCAGATTTAATCGTCAACGGTTTCGCACTCAATCCCTTTACGATGACATTGTAACGATCGAATGCGATGAAAGTCATTGTCCAAATGGAGCCGCAGCCAAACAGTGATCCCAACATGGCGTATAGCTCACACATAAATGGACCTATCAATAATATCTCATATTATTCATTAGTTGTAGAATTAGTAATATCTTACTTACCCAACACCCAGGTTTCGTAGTAGCAGTTGATTACCATGGCAGGTGACATACACAGCATCATGCACATGTCCGAAAAAGCGAGATTGATCACCAGCAGATTCGATGGTGTTCTCAAACCCTTCGTGCTGCAGAAGATGTAGACAACCATGCCGTTGCCGCTGACCGCGACGAAGCCCAGTACCCCGATAACGAATCCCAGAATGGCGTGCCACAGAGGGTTCATCGGCGGGAACTGATACCAATGAGGCGAGACCAGGTACAGCATATCGGGTGACACTTTGTCCACCACTGTCATGTTACCGCCAAAGCTGCCGGACATGGCGCGGTTTGCCGTCCAGGCGGCGAAGCTCGGTGAACCCATTACGGACATTCTGACAGTTGTTGAACTCGAAAGGCACTCCGAAGTGCACGATCAATCGCCTAGTGAAGAAGTACGCAAAGATGCGGCTTGTGAATGCGATCTGCAAGTGCGGTTTTTATATTGCGGTTGTTTTATAGCCTGTGTAAGTTAATCTAATAATTGTAATCTTACCGACGTTGCGGTTGGAGCTGGGGGCGTCTTGGAAGGAGCAGGCACCACGAAGGGTTTCTTGGGGTAATTCGATTTCAGTCAAGGACATGATTATTGGATTTTGTGTCCTCTTTTGGATATTAATCTGCGGTAAATACTTGCGTAATTTCTTATCGACGCAGAATGTAATTAGAAGAATAGATACAGAATTTTGTAATGTTTATTTTAAACCTTTTAAACCCAAATAACTCAAGTCCCACCTGTGAACGCTAAGAGGAGCAAAGACCTTGAAATGAAATTTGCTTGAATTTTAATGTAAAAAGTGTTTATTAATAATTGTTATTTTTATTGAAGAAGATTAAATAAAACATTATTTGGAATACTTTATCTTAATAATTTTTTCTTCTAACATCAACCATATGACTCCTATTGATAATTTTATTTCAGAGTTTTACTAAAATTTAATTAATTGAATTTTGTGATTTCCGTGTAAACCATTAGCCTGATAACAAAATTTTACTTAAATAAAGTGTTTATAATCACGTTCTCTTTCAGTATCTGTAATAAAAAACACAAAATTTAATAATTTATTTTTTGTGTAAGAATTGCTGGACAAAATGAAAAAAACAGTTTATCGCAATTATCTTCCAAACAATTAACACTAAAAGAAAATGCTTTTCAGATTCGTATGCAGGATTAAATTCTACATTTTATAACACTTAAAATATTTCAGTTTTCTGCAATTATGTAATAACAGAAAATGGTTAATAACTCGAAAACTAATTAAGATATCGGAACAAAAGTTGGATAAATGGATTCCTTGCATCATTCTGCACTAGATTGGAAAGTTTGAGGAAAATCTGAGTTGGGGTTTTATTTGAACTGTTTCTATTTTCACCCGGTTTTTCCGAAATATTGGTGTTATCAAAAAACCGACTGGATATCTTTCATCGCATTGGAAAACTGTATCGATTAGCGTTTTCCGTTTTCTTCTAGCGTGACAAAAATTTTTTGGGTCCAGAAATCATCAAGTGTAACCACTTGACTACTTTTAGGTGGTTTTTCATCGATTTCTTAGAATCAAAAAACTAAATCTGCCATTTTATAGACGCTTGTTATGACATGAAAAAAGTGCAAAAAGTTTTTTTGTAAGTCTTATAGTTTCCGAGAAAATTGCGTTGGAAAATTGTTTTCCACACCCAAAAATTTACAAATTTCGAAATCTTATCTTATGTAGAATTTAACGCTGTACACAATACAGTTATCGGTTTTTGATTATCTCTATTAGTTTCTGAGATAATTGAGATTTAAATGTCGCAGGAAGTACACGTTGCACTTAAATGCGCCTAGAGAGTAAACCGGATGAAATATACAGTAAAAAATTATCTCAATTGGCTAATTGGAAATTCCTTTTTAGTTTTTAATCATTATCGCAAGCACTAATTATAATGCCAGGCGCCTCCACCAAAATTTTAATAATTATCTACGCTAATCAAAAAAATGAAAAAGTAAAATTTTTTTTGCTGATTATAATAGAAAACAGCTTTATTGACAAATTATTTTAGTAAAAATTTTTAATTTAACAAATAGTTTAAAAGATATACGTTAAATTAATTCGGAGTAAATAAAATTATTAAAATCCAACTTAGGGCCTAAATTAAAAATGATCAATAAAATAGTTACTAAGATTTATTTATAAGAATGAACCACTCTAACAGAATCCGCAAACAGAATTTGAAAATTCCAACTTTTAATTTCGTACATAAAAAAAGAGAAAAGATTTGCCTTTTTTATGACGAAAACTTTTCTTTAGAACTTCGACACAAAAATATTTTTTAAAAAAAGTTCGACCCTGTCTTTCGACCGGTAATAATTTTATTAAAAAAAGTTCGACCCTGTTGTTCGGCCGAAAATAATTTTTAAGAATAAACAATTGATGCAAAACTTCAATACTTTAAAAACAGATGTCGCTGCATGTACTAAACTAAAATAAATTCATACATTTTTATATACTGAAAAGATGTATTTATATGTTGTTTAAATTTAACGACTCATGTATGGGCAGTGTCCAAAATATCAACAGTTACCCAACCAGCTATGTCACAACAAATCCTCGAGCGGATCCACGCTAGCATGGACCCACTTCCGGTCAGACTCTCCATGAACCCATCGCACATCAATGCGCATCGAAACGAGGTGTAGGACACTCCAACCGAAACAATACGCCCCCGATTCCATCGCACAAACAATTGATACATGCGTGCATGCCAGCCAATAATTTCAGGCCCTATGCCGCAACCTTCAAAGCCTCTCTTTCTCTATGTTGGTGTTCTTGCAGCACGAGCAGAACATCCAATAATTCACCAACATTTTCCAAACGACATCCAACAAATTACCATCGCTGCATTAACGCGTTTTTTCTTCTTCTTTGTGTGCGTTTGTGACTTAAATACGAGTACGAGTGCGGATACTGTGAAAAAAGGGAGAAACGCGTGCGTTCTTGTGGATATAATAACTGCGCTCGGCGAGATCCACACTTTCAACGACGTACCTATAATAATAATTATGAAGGAGGTGCGTAAATCACGGACCGTAAGTGCATTCATTCACCTCGCCTTCAACCAACCCGCACATTACGTTATTTTCTCCTCAGCACTGCGTTTTCTTCCTTATTCTTTCACTTCTTACTAAAGTACATTCATATTCTTCATTCTTATCTTTAAATACAAGTATACTAAGAGATGTGTTAAAACCGTGTAAATTTTCTTTTCGCGATTTAATTGTTTGAAAATGTCGTGGATTTTCATAACACTCTGTGTAATTACGATGAATATGAGATTTGAAGGAGTGTTTCTCGCTCTGCTTGGCTACCGCTAATCATACTCGAGCGCCTTTATGAAACCAACAAAAACTGAATGTGCATAAAGTAAAGCGAAAAGCCCTCGCAAACATCAATTAAAACTGTACTCGCTTATTTGAATAATAATAAATAATCAACATTTCGTTCGTTATGGAAAATTTACATAAATAAATTAGTTTACCTATAAGTACAATATTATATTGCGCACAGTTTATGTTCCAAGAATAATATTACGCTCAGATTTGGCTAAACAGCAGTTTAATAACAATAATAAAAGTTGAATGCGGTTAATAAGGCTTTTAACACAAATAGTGGGAGTTCCCGGAAGACATATCGCTGGTATAGATTATGTAGCAATCGCAAAATGAATGTTTTGCACAACTACGACAATGCAATCATCAGGAAAGTGTCGGAAATGTTGGGAGAACAATCAAAAGATGCGGGCGAGGCGAAATTCTTGCATAATCATTGAATCCAAGAAGTGAAACAAGCATTTAAACAGTTTCTAATAGTAAAATTAATCCGGCCCTGTTGAATAATATTCATTATTGCATTGTATTATTGTTTGGCGGTTCTGGATTCGCCAAAAAACTTATAATAGTTACATAAGTACAATATGAATGCAAAACATTCACAGGAAAACATAAAATCCAAGGCATTAACACCTAAAAGCACTCAGCGATTTATTTAAACGTTTGTCTTCGTTTTCATGTATGAAACTGTGAACTGTTTGCCATTGTTAAACGAGGAACAAACGCTAGGTGCGAGATAGTTAAACTTTTTGCCTTTGCTAATGTCTTGACGATCACAATGCGACGTTTACGATTGAAGAAAAGTCCACAGTCGTTAAAGTAAAAACGATGTTTTCTAATAAATTATAAACAAAATAAAATTGCATGATGTATGCAAATGAAATTTAATCACAGTAACACTTAATTAAGAATTTATGCATTCATGCAAACATATCGTAGTTAACAGAAATCTATGAATATAAATTTAAATTTGCGATGGGAATGCTAATTGCGCTGCGAATGAATGTCAGTTGATTCACGACGATTTAAATTTATCGCAATTGTAACATGGTAACAGTAATGCTTATTTTCTTTTGCTTTATGAAATTATACGACATTATGAGTGTTTATCCTTTTCGTCGTTGTAGCGCAAACAGCAACATCAAATCGTCAATCTAACTGTAAACTTCAATGCGTAAATATGAAGATCAACGAATGAATTAAATTGCTAATGTGCATAGTTGTGACAGAATGCGACAGGAAATGTCCTCTTATAATTTAAAAGTCTTCCAAGTCGGAAAAAATGATTGTATGTATTTATTTCTCTTAAGATGTTGAAAAATATTCGAATAAATCTTTTTTTTTTGTATTTTCTATAGATTGTCACACTTTATGCACTTATATTTCGTATCTTATTCTCCGTCTTCGGTCCATTGCATCTTCCTCGTAGTGGTTTAGATTTGCATTGACTTTATTGTCCCACGTCAAGTGTGCCGACGTGCATGACGATTTCCTGAATTTTCTTGCTGAATACTTTATTAATTTCTATTTGCCTGTTGTTGTGAATAATGTCCCCGCGGCGAGAAGTGACACTTAACGAAACTAGATCAAGCAACAGACGAAGAATTTATTCTCAACTAGTTTCAAGTTTCCATATGTTTTGTGTTTTGTTCCCATTGTTGATTGACATTTACATATCCAGTCATACATGAAATGAAGCGAAACTACTTCTATGCAAGTACAATATTACTTTTATTATTCACTAGCTTTTACCTAGTTTTTTTATTGCTTGTAGCATGCTTCAGCGTCATTTTTTTTATGAACAAACTTAAAAACTATTTTTCATACCTTTTAAGTTAAATTTTTGCAACAAAAAGTAGTCTATGTTATTCTCCTATGTCTAAACTATCTCCAAACCAAAATTTATCAAAATTCGTTGAGTGGTTTTTGTTCTACAACGTAACAAACATACAAATAACAATTTTATTGCGCATGTGGTAATACTACTCCACTCCATAAACTTAAGCATGATATTTCGCTGGTGCGTGAGAAATCATTCGATTAGGACTAATTGGAGTGGTCAGTAATCCTCAACTGAGTTACTAAACCATGAATAATTAAACTGTCGATAACTGTACATCACACATACACAATATACACTCGTAATTAGTCGATTGCTGTGCCACACGACACATAATGCAAAAGGCATGTAGGTAATCCACGGTGTTTTTTTACAATTCATTATTTTGACATGAAACATGACTTCGCCGCGAAGCAGTGGAAATACGAGCCGCTAACACGAAAGCAGGCGCTTCTTTAATGGGCTCAAAAAATTGCTGCGCGCGAGCAAAAAGTGAAGGAAACGGCTAGCGACATGAACTCATCAGCAAGGAAACACGTTGGTGAATGCGCTTGAGTAAAACGCGAGCGCATGCAATGCGTCGATTTGCTCGACAATTTGACAATTACGCGAGGTACACCGTGAGTGTTTGATTGGATTGGATTGCGGACTATCAGGCGATCAAACGACTGAGATTGAGAAATCGAGGCTTTGATCGTTACGTCTAGCGGGAAGAAAATTATTGATTGATCTTTACACGATGGTAAATTGGTGTAATTTTGGTTTTACGCACGTTTTTTCAATCAGGTCAAGCTATTTCTGTTTTTTTTTTTATTAAAATTCACACAATTACAAACAAAATTTTAAAAATTTTAATTCCACGCTGAATAAATAATTCCTAATGACTAGTGTGGTAATTTTTTAAATTTCTACCATCTTCTCATCCTCATCAACCACACACGTAAAGCTTCAATTTGAAGCAAACTCACATGCGTGCCCACGAAGACAGCAAAGTCATCATTATCAGCAACTCGCTGGAAGTCAGTCACAGTTAGTCAGAGCAACTAGCCAAACGAAAACAAGCAATGCGAATTATATTAAACTAGCTGTTGCCGGCGACTTCATTCCGGCAGTGTTTAATAAAAATGTAATTCGTTTTTACTCTCTTGATCTAGAGATACTCGTAGTAAGAGTCAATTTTATCAATAAGATTAGCAATTTTAATTTAAAGAAATTAATTATATAAAGTTTTGTCAATAATGCACTTCAGCGCGCCATCTCGAATTCAACTATTTAACTATAACTATGATTGAATCTCAATGTCAAATTTTATTCCGTAGAAAAGAGCTGTTTTGAGGATTTTCCCGGCAATTATCCGAATTTTTCTCACCTTTTAAACCTTCCCTAGACCTCCACGAATAATTCAAGACCAAGATAAGATAAATCCGTTCAGCCGTTCTCGAGTTTTAGCGAGACTAACGAACAGCAATTCCTTTATATATATATATATATATATATATATATATATATATAGATTATCTATTGCACGTCAACTCACCGCTGATTGCTAATCAACTCCAAGTACATTCTTTCTGTCGCTCAATTTTATAATTTTATAATTACCCAAGAAAGAATAAAATCATAAAGTTTATAATCTTGAAATAAAAGCGGGGAATAATGACCAGTGCAGGTTAAAAGGAGGAAAAAACACTAACGGCCGTGTAAGATAATGTAGGCTGTAATAGAAACTTAATAGCGTATAAACAATAAAAGTCATGATCGAAAACAATGAACATTTCCGCTGCTTGCACTTTGCAAATGCTCGTACTTAAATTTTGCGCTTTCCGCCAAGCATGCGGCCGCGTTTATTATAATATTTCACAGTTATTAAACTGATGATTACGCTGATATGACGCCCATGAAGCCAGAACTTCAGAAACTCATGAAAAACATCTTAAAAACATAAAAAAACATCTTAAAATGCTTGTTTTTATTTTTATTTCTTATAAAATGATAAAATATTAACAGAAAAAATAAAAATTAGTTCAGGAAACTTCTAAAAGCTCTAATAAATTATTTAAAAATGTAATAAGTTTTTTTTTTGTTGTAAATTTTGCAATAAAAACAATAAAAATTAAACAGCGGATTAAAATTAGTTGGTTTTTGCTGTAATTGTTTAATTGTTGGTTTTTTCTCACTTGGTATGTTGAAAAGCTGAAGCCGGCCGTTCCGATGTTGCGGGTCACTCACTCTTTTTCCGCACTTCTCCGCAGAATATTATTTCTAATACACATTCGCGGCGAGCGCGAGCCCGTAACGGCCCCGTGTGCACGACGGCGTTTAACTTCTTCGACGCTGGCATTAGTCGAGCGGTGGATTTGGTGAGGAACGCTGCACCAGAGCCGATTCGGTCCCATTCATCATTCGTATCATATCATCGACACTACAAAACAACATTTAAAATCAAAACTTATTAATAAATTTAAAAAAAAGTGTAAATTTGTGTAAATTTGATGTGATTTTATCGAAAAAACGTGGATAAAATGCATGTTTTTGAAATTCAACACTTGGATTACGTACGTACACAAACCACCAACGTAAATTTCATTTCATTTAGTTATATTCATTCAAATTAATTAATTTCTTTAGAAAAAAAAAACTTTTACTTTTTTTGTTTAGATTTGTGAGATGCATTCATCTTTATATGTTTATTGTTTTGATTTAATTAATAGTCTCAATCAAACAATCGGAAAACTATGTTTTGTTAATTTTTCACATAATTAGCTTAATGAATAGCTGTAGAATACTAATAGAAGTTTATTGTTGTTTTTATGATCGTTTAAAACATTATCTCTGTTAATTTAATGCGTTGTTTGCGGTTTCAGGATGAAATCGATGGTTTCGCGAACGGGGCGGGCAATGGCAGCGTGGAGACGGCGTTCCGTAAACTGCAGAAGAACTGCACCGGCTTCTTCGTGTGGCGCATCGAGAACATGAATGTGATCGCTCTGCCGAAGGACAATTACGGCACGTTTTACGATGCGGAATCGTACATTGTTTATGCGTCCTCACTCGCCGGCACGCCGGCGAACATCGACACCGTGGTAAAACACCATAATTTCCTTTAATTTTACTAATTTATTACAGGCTATTAAACGAAATATAAAACATTTTATATACAGTGTCGTGAGGTAAAAACCACACCGGAAATCCACATACATTTCTGGTTGGGCACGAGTTCCACCGCTGATAAAAGTGGAGTTGCCGCTTATAAAACCGTAGAATTAGATGGTTACCTCGGCGGGAATGCAATCCAACATCGAGAGACGCAGGGTAACGAAAGTCCACGTTTCAAAAGTTACTTCCGGAGTGGTATTCGTATCCTGAAAGGCACTTCGAGTTCGCTAGGGAAGGAAATTGTGGCGAAAACAAAAATGTACAAAGTTAAAGGCAGCAGGATACCGATTCTAACCCAACTTCCGTCGATTTCCTGGAGCCATTTTAATAGCGGTGACGTTTTTATCATTCAAACCGAGACTACGATTTTTATTTGGTTGGGACGTGCGGCGACATCTATGGAGAAGCTACACAGTGCTAAGGTGACTTAAGTAACTTCCCATTTATTTTTATATTAGCTTTAACCCGCGGCTTCACTCGCGAATATCTAAAATAATGAAGTTGTTTCCATAAGCGTCTGTAGTCACAGAAGAAGTAACAATGAAGTAGAATGGCGGGAAGTTTAAAATGGCTGAAAGTATAGTCTATGGAAGTATAGTGTACAGTCTCCATAGTGTAGTCAATTGGATTTGATGTTGACGTAGCTGTCGGTAATACAGTGTGATAATACAGTGTGATGGTACTATAGTACTTAGGTTTGAGCTTCATTGCTGGAATGCTAGATGGCGTTAAAGTAGTCAAATAGCCAGATGCAGCTATTGGCTAAACAATTTCTTTATTTTATTTAAAAATAATTTTTTATTAAATAAAAAGTAGCCTATAACCATTCGGGGACCACTAAGAATATGTGTTCAAATTTTCATGATGATCCGTTAAGTAGTTTTTGCGTGAAAGTGTAACAAACATCAGGTCTTTCGCATTTATAATATTAGTAGGGATTAATTGAAGTGGAGATAAAGCCGAGCGTCGAGCTTAAAGCGGTGACATTTCTGTAACTAGGTCAATACTTACGTAGGAAGCGAAATGTGAAGCGGTAATGAGTAAACAAGATATTCTTTGCTGCGAATGTCACATTAATTTACCTTTTGCTAATTAGTAATTAAAATATCTTTCGTTTATGACATGTGTTTCTCAGTATTAATAGTAGAATAGTAGGAAACTGTAAAAATCGACACTAGCGACGTTTTTATCCGAAACGAAGAAATCCGTAACTATCACGAGTAACATACGAGTAATCCGTCCCTAACCTCTTAAAACAAATCAAATTTAAATAAGTTTTGCGATAAAAAGTGCTTCATATATAAATTTATTTTCCATTACAGGCGAAAGTAAAATGTCAGTGTTTACGAGCACATTATTACGCGATTATCAAAGTTAATTACCACATCTTGACGCTGCTCGCATCTTCGGCTGGTTGATCGCCGGCTCTCGACGGTAGGCGCCCGGATCATAGAGTAACGAAGGATTGCACTCGAGTGGGAGGATCATAAAGTCATGAACTACGGCGTGCTGAACACGCCGGAGGCGCTTTATGATCGCGAGGCGCTGAAGGAAAGGTTATAATATTAACGCAGGAATTTTTGCTTGCCCTCCGGTTACGGATACTACTTTAGCATGAGAAAGGGTTTCTCTCGCCTAGACGTTTTCATATCCGGGGCGAGGTTTTGGGCGACACTCGACTAACGAGAATATTTCATCATAATTCACCATGCATTCAGTAATACTGAACAAACTTAACTTAATTGCATTTTGGTAAAAAAAAATTTTATTCTGGAATATTTTTAGATATTTTTTATTTAAACATTTTTTTTTTATTTTCTAGAGATGTTGAATTTATCTGTTGAGGATTTAGCCAAGGAAATTGTGTTTTAATTGCTCGTTACGCAGCGTTAATTTCAGCTTAAAAGTCGGTTACAGAAGAACTGGATTGAAATATGACGCCGGCGGCAGTCTGGACGAAAGCGGGCGCCTTTTGTCTTTTATAATTAGAAAAGTTTTCGCGAAATTTTTCATTCATTTATCTATCCGCTCGAGTGAAGCGCGAGATCGTTTTTATTTTATTTTCTCCTTGCGAAGGTTTGAGCCCTTTCGAGTGCTCTCGTTCTTTCATTATTTCGCTCTGAATAAAGGTGTGTAAGTGTCGGGAATTATTCTCCTAGACCTGGTGCTTGCTGTATCTCCGCATCTGAGTAAAAGATGAGAAAGTTTAAATTTTGCACGGCTCCAAGTTATCTACCTGGCAACAGTCGGATAAAAGTATTACATTCGCATAGTCAAGTTTGTAGTCAAGTGTTCTGGTAAATTTCTACATAAATAATGCATTGGACATTTTGTTATTTATTGAAATTACGATCGGAACATCGAAACGTGCGCAAAAAGTGTTGCTCTCTCGGGTACAATCCTAGTTTACACAACATGTGCTGGAAAGGACTAAAGTCCTAAGTACATATACAAGAATCAATGGATGCGGAATAGAATTTTGTGGTTTCGGAGTGTTGAAAGTGGCCAGTAAACCTGGAACTAAACAAACTGATATTAGATGAAAGGATCAAAGGTTAATCAAAGTAGACAAAGTTTTCGTAATAGTTTTGGGAAGATAATCAAAATATATTTTAAAATTTTATATTCAAAAGGTTGGATTTTGGTTCTTCGGCAAATTGCAGCATTAGCATCATAAATTCAGGCGACAATAGAATTTTGGGTCGACGTGGTTCGTTGTCTCCATCCTTGGGGTGCGCGTGTTTCGGTTCGAATGTCGCGCGCGGTCCTGCGGTAGGAAGTAATCAGCGCCACGACCGCGTGCGTCGAGTTGCCCTTTCGACTCACATCCGGTCTAGAAAACCCCTCGAATCCGACCGAAACCCACGCACTTTAAAATTTTCACATTTATTAAAAAAAAACACACTGTATATTTATTCCCACCACCACAGAAAAATAAAAAAGACGCAAAAGAAACGGTAAGTTATATTTTTATACTTTGATCGGTTTCTTTTGATGGAAAAGGTATTTTTTCATCGTCGCGAACAAAAAGAGCGTCACATCGCATCGCGCGCGCATCCATCGCGTCCATATCGTAGGTGCGTCGTAAAAAAGAAGGTGAAAAACGTGCGACAAATACTCGAACATTGACAAACGATCCCGCACGTTCGTGCCACGTTCCGCAGACCTTTAGGTATAGATCCCGAGCCGATGACGATGACGTTGGCGGGCTATTATTTTTTCGCCGTTTTCTATTTCGTTTGCGCGCGCGAGACGTGTTGCTTTTTTCTCCCGTCGAGGAAGCGCACTTCTGTCGCTGACAAGGAAACAATGGACTTTTTGTCCGCCATGCGAACAATCCTAACCCGCAAAGAAACGTCTTACCAAAATATATTTTCGGATATCAGTGAGTGAAGAACAAACAAAAAATATAAACGAATTATTTTGATTTCCGATTTGATTAAGCGTAATAAATACACAGATTTATATTAATGTCTTGAATTATTAACATAATTGTTGAGAGACATCTATTAAATACTAGTAATATGTAAACATGACATCATGACATGGTAACATGACATAGTTGTGTTGGCAGCACTGGCGGATACGGCGTGTGTGCGCGCAACGCCCTCGTGTGTCAATAGTGCGACATTAAATAATAAACCGGCCATTAATTTGACACGTGAATAGCTCTATTTAAGCGACGCAGCACGGCTCGATGTGACGCAGTGAGCGTGTGCGCTTTCGTATCAATTACGAGTTCGCTAGGGAAAAATTGTGTGAAAACAAAATATTACCAAAGTTAAAGGCAGCAGGATACCGATTCCCCAACCTTTCCGTCGATTTCCTGGAGCCATTTTAATAACGGTGACGTTTTTTGGCATTCAAACCGGACTACGATTTTGGTTGGGACGTGCGGCGACATCTGTAAGAAGCTACAGTGCTAAGGTGACTTCCATTTATTTTTTATAATGCTTTAACCGCGGCTTCACTCGCGAATATCTAAAATAATGAAGTTGTTTCCATGGCGTCTGCTGGAGAGTAACAATGAAGAGTAGAATGGCGAGGAGGTTTAAAATGGCTGAAAGTATAGTCTATGGAGGTAGTGTACAGTCTCCCATGGTGTAGTCAATTGGATTTGATGTTGACGTAGCTGTCGGTAATACAGTGTGATAATACAGTGTGATGGTACTATAGTACTTAGGTTTGAGCTTCATTGCTGGAATGCTAGATGGCGTTAAAGTAGTCAAATAGCCAGATGCAGCTATTGGCTAAACTATTTCTTTATTTTATTTAAAAAATATTTTTTTTTATTAAATAAAAAGTAGCCTATAACCATTCGGGGACCACTAAGAATATGTGTACAAATTTTCATGATGATCGGTTAAGTAGTTTTTGCGTGAAAGTGTAACTAACATCACTACTTTATAATATTAGTAGGGATTAAACTATTTCTTTTAAAATTTTTAAAATAGATTGCCACGACGCTTAAAACAGAAACTGGTATTGGTAAAATTGCGTTCATCGAAGATGGCTACGAGCAAACCCTAGCTGATGAGGATAAATGTGAACTGCAAAAATATCTCCCATTGGATAAACGCCACGTGATGCCTTTGGATTTCGACGGGAATGATGACGACAAGTCCCACAAAGGGCATTTGAAGTTATATCGATGTTCGGATAACAATGGGAAGTACAGGGTGACTGAAATCAAAGCAGGTCCTTTGGTACAAGCTGATTTAGATTGTGATGTGAGTATAACCTCAATTTACCTACCTAAAACCTAACCTAATTTATTGACTTCCTGCGTTCACAGGATGTGTTTATTATTGATAACGGCACCAATGGTATCTGGGTATGGGTAGGAAGACGCGCCAGTGACAAAGAACGCGTTGAAGCAATGCGCAATGCCCGTGGGTTTGTCAAAAAGAAGAAATACCCTAACAACACAAACGTAACACGCGTAATCGACGGCTCCGAATGCCTCGAATTCAAGATGCTGTTTAATTACTGGAAGGATGACTCCAACCCGAAAACCAACACCGTGGCAGTCGGTAAGCGTGCAATAAGCAAGTTTGATGCGTTGACTATGGAGGAACGTCCCCTCGTTGGCAGCGGAAACGCAGCTTGTCGACGATGGCAGCGGGCAGATGCGAATCTGGCGCATTATGAACGACGAAGTGGTCGAAATCGCACGCGAGAAGCACGGCCAGTTCTTCGCCGGTGACTGTTACATCGTGTGGTACAACTACGAAAGCGCCATCAACAGGAATATCGTCTTCTATTGGATCGTAATTATATCCACACAATGGCACGACGTGTCTTGTTAACGGCATTGGTGCTTTTTGTTCACAGGGTATGAATGCCAGCGCCGCTGAAATTGAAAGCGTCGAGGCGAAGGTGATTGAAATGGACGAGCAGCTCGAGGGTACCGGCGTGCAGATTCGCGTACGCCAGGGAAAGGAACCAGCGCAGTTCTTGCAACTCTTCAAAGGCAAATTGATCATCTACAAAGGCTGCGGTACGGATTATGACGGTAAGCAGTTTACAATTGCATTGCATCTCATCTCGTTAAGTTTATTTACTACATCAATACTATACTATACTTTTAGAAAGTGGTAGAAACATGAAGCATCCAGCAAATTACCTCTTGCAAGTAGAAGGATCTTCCTCGTTTAGCAGTAAAGCAATGCAGGTGCCGTACAAAACAAGCTCGTTAAATTCAAACTATTGTTTCGTACTGAAGAAAGGCAGACATTATCATATTTGGTGCGGTAACGTTTCCACCGGTGACCAGCGTGAAATGGCAAAACACTTTACCGGTAAAGATTTTGAAATCATCTTGGAAGGAAAAGAAACCAAAGAGTTTTGGGATATATTAGGTGGAAAAACATCGTATGCTACTTCAAAATTTATTACTGATTATGCATACAGGAAACCTGTGAGGTTATTCCATTGTTCCAATAAGACAGGTGTATTCAAAGCGGAGGAAATCTTCAATTTCTCGCAATCTGATTTGATACCTGAAGATATAATGCTTCTGGACGCGCATGAGACGATTTTTATATGGATTGGTAAACTGAGTGGGAAGACCAGTGTGCAGAATTGTGAAAATATTGCTTTGGAGTACATAAAAACAGGTATTACATAACCTCAATTAACATACAACTAAAATGGTTGATTTTTAACTAAATATTTGCCTTTAGATCCTTCTGGAAAAGATGAAAACACAGCAATAGTGATTCTTCGACAACACCATGAGTTACCTACCTTTACCGGCTTCTTCTCCAACTGGAACCATAAATTCTGGAAGGATTACAAACCCTTCGAGGAGATTCGTCACACGATACAAGGAGGAACTCCACGGCGTGCTAAAAATACCACTATGACTCCACCAAGCGACAGTGTCTTTGATAAATACGATAAGTACCCAGTTAGTGTCCTCAAAGGACCTTCGGATAAACTCCCAGCTAAAGTCGATCCGCTTGTAAAAGAACTTCACCTGACTCATGATGACTTCGTGTATGTTTTTAAGATGCAATACAAAGAATTCGAAGTGTTGCCTAGGTGGAAACAGCAGGAATTGAAGAAAAAGGTTGGATTATTCTAAGGAAAATATTAAATTTACATTATAGGGATTTCTTTTGAACCAAATCGACCCAAAGAGATAGGAGAGAGAGGAAATTGTAACCCCCACCACTTTTTGCGGGTTATTCCCCCTCTCTTTCATCTCTTTGAAGGTTTCTACAACATTTAGATTGTCATAAGCCATAAATTAAGTCTTAACATACAGCTTCATATCCATAATGTCCTAAAGAGGTGTTGGAATTAAGACGTATAAAAACACACGTGTCACATGATGATTCACAAAATATTTACTCGTCTAACATATTGTTGAAGTGTAGTAGTGTAGTAGCGTATGTAATATGTACATCATAACCGTAATTAACTTTATACCTGCATAAATACTTTAGTAGTTTACAAATTAGAGCGAATTTTATATTAGCGCATTATTTGACCAATCATGTTTCTTGTAAATATCATTAACAACAAAAAAAAAAAAGATTTAAAAAATAATTAAATAACATACAATTATGAGCATGCGCATGTGCAGCGCACGTCGCAATAATCATATCACTTAAGGCACGAGTTTATAAAATGTACACAGCACGATCACTGCTGCAGGCGTATAATAATGATATTGTTGTCGTCTTTCCCTTGCATTTGTAACATTTTGATTTTCGTTTTTCGTCTAGAATTCGGGATATTCTAAATACATATATTATTTGTACACAATAAACACGTTTAACAACAAATTGGTTCAATCAATTTCGAAACGCATCTTATCAACGGAATGTATCGTTCTTAAAATCGAATTGAATAACATAAATCGTTCGCAATTACTTGAGGTACAATGCATTTGAACTGCGTCATTGTGAAATACTGTAGTCTAGCGTAAATTCCTGTCTTGTTCCTGGACGAATTGGCTTGCGTTTTAGTCGATTTCAATAGAAAAATGATTGCATTTATGTACATGGTGCCAGAAGATATATAAACCAACAATTCCGACTTAGCTTAAGTTATGATTAAAACATGTAGCAACATTTTTTCGTTAGGCCCCGTTTGATTTGTAGGCAAATTCGTTAAGTATCCGTAGTTAAGGCATAATTGAGCAGATCGTCACTCACCTCACATTTAAACAAAAAAAACATAGTGTAATGATGTGATAACTCTAATTTTGTCACAGCTCAAGTAGAAAAGTAAGTATCACCTAATTAGATTTAAGCATTACTCCCGTCCGTAAGTAATTCATGTATATAATATATAAGCCGGTCGCCTCACTTATTGTTCATCGACGAGTTCGCTGGCAATGTGGCCGATCGTTGCTGAACGTTCAAGTATGGCTTTAGTAATCTTGTTGATTCCCTGTTTGCGGCAAAAACAACCATCGGCTTTACGAAATTCATTCAAGCGCTCACGTTTGGTGCAAGTGTCAGAAAATCAAAAACTAAGAATAAGCAAACCCATGCCATAGACAAATGTGACTAAAGCTAAAGATACTGGCGTCAGTTCAATAGAGAAGTACTTCTAGAGCTAGAATAAGGAAATCCGTGTACATAATAGCTAGATAATCAAATAATTTAATAATGGAAAGCATAAATATACACACACACAAAATAAACAGTACAAAAGCCAATCTAATTAAGTATTAACAAGCATGCAATAATATTTCAAGCGCAAAAATAAACACCAAGTGAATCAAATTGTAAAACACGATATCAACAACGTCAGAATCAAAAATAATACACACACAAAAAGCATACGGTTTTTGGAAGATGCGGCTGTCTTACCTTGGAGAGACTTTCGCTGAATCTATGGCATTGGAATTATTGGCTTTGTATCCGCATTTCTGGATCTTCTTACTCAGTCGATTCACCCAGTGCTTCTGCTCGTCCACCGACGGCGCTAACAGTAATAGTTCTTTGGCGTAACTAGGATCGTAGTGCAGTTTGCACGGTGCAACGTCTTCCTTGCGATCGATGTGATCTTTATGAATTTTCACTCGGCATCCTATGAAATACTCACAAAAATAAATTGTATTGAGTTGAATTTTATAACTTACGTCTGCATTCTAAAGCTGGTGGCGGCCTGAACATATGCCACATGGGTTTCGGACACACCTCACACGTCGTAGGCATATGATAAGAAATGTGCAAGAATTCGTGACCTTTGTGCACAATGGTGCCGGGTTTATCATCGCCTTTGATTGAACTGATGTCCAGCGAGTTGCCCTGCTCGTCGGTTTTGCGCGCTTCTCCTTCGCCAGCGTACAGCAGCTGGAATATTCGTGGTATGTCCTTCAAATCCGCACGAATCACATCGCCTTGTGTCACGGATCGTACGTGAAACACTTTGCTATTGAAAATAACAAAAAAAATTATTAATTTTTTTAAAATATTGATAAAAAAGGGAAAAAATACCATAAATCCAGAACAATAACAGGATCTGTATTCTGTTTGTCATTTTCCGAGTTGTAGAATATCACTTTCTTGCTAGAGACAACCACAAATTGCTTCTTCCAGCCATGTCGTCGAATATTCTGCTTATTTGGTATTGAGAGCCATCCTTCAAACATGGAATCCACATTGAGATCTTCATCCGCTGAGCTTAGCGACGCTGTCTCGCTGTTGAACGTCTGCAGCTTCAACTGGAGAATCTCAATCTCCGAATCCTTACTGTCAACTTCCATCTGCAGCCTTAACCGGGCCGCTGTCTCCTCGGAAAGACTCAGCGTCACCTCTTGAATTTGTTTGGTCAATAACGTGTACTGCGAATTGAATTTATCCTTCTCCTGTGCCATTTCCTGCTGCAGTTTCTTGAGGTCTTTCTCTTTGCGTCGGAGATCTGCACTGGACACCTTTGTCTTGGTCTTGGTATCCTTATTACTAAAGTCTTTCCTGTTCATGATCTCATGCAATTTATTAACAGCCTGTTGTTTAAGAATATGCTCCGTGTTCAACTTCGCCTTTAATTTCTCCATCTCCTCGCTGTGATCCATCAATTTCATCTCTTCCTGTAATGCCACAACTCTCCTAGAGAGATCCTCCTTATCCTTGAGAATTTGTTCGTTGATTTTCTTCAGTTCCTGCTCGCGATCTTTCGTTGTATTGATCAAAACTTCCTTGGCATTCATATCACTGCGATGCTTCGCTTGAAGATCTTTCTGTTCTAATTCCTTCATCGTCTTTTCCTTCTCCAAATCAGCCACGGTCTCTTCAGCAATGGAACGCGCCAATGTTTCGGAATCAGCACGTGCAATCGCAAGTTGACATTGCATCTTTAACGAAGCGCGCTCTTCTTCATACTCTTTACCTTGACGTATCTTTTCTTCCAATTCTTCTTTAAGCTCATTCGTTTGGGTCTTGTACAAGGTGGAGAAATATTGTTCCGTTTCCAAATTATCCTGCAATTCTTTAATTTGGAATTGTTCAATGGACCATTCACGTTTTACTTTGTAGAGTTCTTCTTCAACAGCCTTCTTGGTCTCTTGAAGATGCGCGTTTTCTTTCAGCACCTGAGACTCTTTCGTTTTCAATTCAGCGATGCCGGATAAAGCTGAGCCGAGTTCAGCTTGCATGGTTGACTTCTTCGTTTGTTCCTGCTCGACTAGACTGTGGAGAGCTTTCACCTTTTCGACTTCCTGGCGATATTCGCCTTCCAATTTCTGCAGGCGTTGCTGAATCTGCCTGTAATCCACTGATAACATTGAGATTTGACGTTCTTTTTCCTGAGAATTCAAATCGGCTTGCTGGCGGGCGCATTTTTCTTCGTTCAACTTTGTTTGCAGCGCTAAATATAAAAAGATACAGTTTAATCAAATATTTAAGCAAAAAAAACATTAAATATATGATTATTTTACCCAGATTGATTTTTTCCACGAGTACTATGCATGAAAATCAATCATTTCAACATAAATTCAAGCATTTTAATAAATTTTGTAGAAAATTATACAAACCTTTGACAACTTCAAGATTCGCCTCCTCCTTGTTCATCATCTTACTCTTCGTAGTCTCCTCATGAGCCTTGACTTCATGCTGATATCTATTTTGTAAAGATTTCAGCTCCAGCTTGAGTGTGGCACATTCTTTCTCCATGAACGAAATCTTCTCATTAAGTTGCATGTTATCAACAGTGACGCCATTCTCCCGTGATCGAATCCTCTCAATTTCCGCATTTAAGCTCTGCACCTTGTTCTCCAACACTGCCTGCTGATTACTGGCCATAGACCGATTGTTTTTCTCTTGTGTGAGCTGCCCCTGCAGCATCACAAGCTCTGTCTTCATGTTATCGCGTTGCACTTGCATATTCTGCATCATCGTTTGATACTCGCTCGCTAGTTGCTCGGAAGTACTCTTCGCCATTGTCAACTCGGACGCCTGCTTCCTCAATCGCTGACAATTCTCCGTCTCTGCTTTCAACTTATCCTGAAACTCTGTGATTTGTTTCTCTAGTGTGTTCATCTTATCGTTGTGTGCCTGACTGTTGTTCATTTCGCGCAGTCTTTTATTTTGCTCGTCTTCAAAACGCTTTTTAAAATCCGAGAGTAATTTCTCGGTCTTTTTCCTTAACTCGCCTTCGTTTTCAGCCTTGCGCATCATTTCTTTTCGGGCGTGCTCAAGCATTTTGAGCTCTTTTTCATAACGCGCTGCTTCGCTCTCGCGAATTTCCGACTCTCGCTGTGCCAGATTGTCTATTTGAGCAATAAGTATATGGTGCTTCTCTTCAAGGAATTGAATATTTTGGCGTTCTTCTTCTAATTGTGCCTCTAGTTTCTGCACTTGAGCGTTTGTATCATTTGTAACATGATTGCTATCGACACTATCTGTCTTCGCAATCGTTGCCGATAAAAGTTGATAATCGGAAGCGTAAGTAAACCCGATAAACGGAAGATGATTACCAATAAACGTATTGGGAATCGTAAAAATCTCCTCAGGCGATTCATCCTTTTCATAATCATCAAAATTACTCGTATCATCATCCCCGGTCAACTCAGGCACGACAGGCGGCACAGAATCTCGAAGATTTTCAAATGTCCACTGATCGTTGATGAAAAATGGATGATTTTTGATTTCGTCCACATTATTTCGACCTGGAAAACATCCAAGAAAAAATTACATTACATAAATAAAGCGAATGCGATGACGCACGTTACCTAAACGTTTCGTGCTGGCGCAGAGCAGTCCCTGAATCAACGACTTCGCATCCTTGGATATCTCCACCTCGGGCGGAAACGTTAAGTTGTTTTCGTGATACATAATTTTATTGTAAGTCCCCAGTAAACTATCGGCGTAGAATGGCGTTTCGCCAACAAGCATTTCATAAACAAAAATGCCAACCGACCACCAGTCGCATTCCCTGCCATAAATCCCCTTGCCGTGACTTTGCAGCACTTCGGGCGAGATATAATCCGGCGTGCCGACGACATTCGTCGACCGCACCAAACCATCATCATCCATACGCATACACGTACCAAAATCAGCCAACTTCAAATGCCCGTATTTATCCAGCAGCATATTATCCGGTTTGACATCACGATGAACGAAACCCATCGTGTGGATGATATCCAACGCCAGCACCACCTCCATGGTATAAAACTTGGCCCACTTTTCGGGAATTTCATAGTTGGACATTAAATTAACGATATCACCGCCCGGCATGTAATCCATCACCATGTAGAGGTTCTTGGCGTCCTGGAAAGCGAAGTGCAGCTGGACAATCCACTCGGAGCGTGCGTGTGCCATGATATGACGCTCCTCCCAAAAGAATGCAGAGTCTGAGCGTTTGATTAAATCTGCTTTGCTTAGACGCTTCATCGCATACACTTTTCGTGTACTTTTGTGACGCACAAGCTGCACTTTACCGAAAGCACCGCGGCCGATTACTTTGATATGCTCGTAGTCATCGGTTTTCATGCGTAAATTTATTATATCCGATGCAAATTTATCATCTGCAATGATAGGATTTATTATAGAAGCATAAAATAAGATTTTTGTGTGAAAAACTTACATCTATTAGTGTAAACATCAATATTTTTAAGTTTCCTTATACTGGGATGATCACAATCTGTGTAGAGAGCCTGCACAGTATCCAGCAATGAGTCTATATTCCCAATACTCCTTGGATCCTGTATTTTTTCCTCGAGTGCTCTGAGCCTTCGCCTCCTATCCTCATCCATTATCTTCTCCATCTTATCAGACTTAGAATGATTGTTGTACATTGGGTAGACAAATAAATTCTTGCCTAATTATAACTAAATCAGAGTGTGTGGTAGATATTCCTGGAAACAAAATACACTAATCAGCACTCTCCAGTTTACAACGCATGAAGTAATTTATGCAAATGAATGTAACCTATGTAAATATTTACAAAATCACTCAATAACTTGGATGAATCACAACATCCTTCCACACCAGAGCCTAAAATTACACTGCAAGTGTTATTAATACAGCTATAAAACGAAAGCAAGCAAAAATCCACACTTGAAATCAGTGATTATTATTTATCATCTATTATCAATAAATATCCGCAAAAAAATCTTGGTAAATCATAATACAAAGTTTAATTTGTGAATTGTATGGTGGCTGATAGTGTGCAACTATCGCAAATTGCGGCTATTGTGTATAATCAGTGGAAATTGAATTAACTCGTTGGAAAAGCGAGTATCTGTCAAATGATAACACACAGGTAAGTGAACTTTTCGAGTATAAAGAACTTGTTTGCGACGCGAATTGCGTGTGTAATACTTACCCCTACATGCCACGTTTAACATAGAACAAAAGATGTGTAAATCATATAACAACCGAACATTAAATTGGCTCCATTTTGCATTAGAACACGCCGAAAATTGATGAAAAAAATTATTTACTTATAGCAGCAGCAGCCATTTTACTTGACTCATGAAAGAAGTTACTGTGCGAGTACACTGGAGTGCGCACGCGTCGAAAAGCTGCTACACACTCGACGTAAATTTATAAATTGTTTTAAACTATCAAACACCAGCAAATAATAATATAATCTAATATATTATTGTATTATAATAATTATAATTTAAATATATTATGATATAGTTTAATTTTTGTTTGAAACAACAACATTTTATATATTATATTAAAAAGTTCAAATTTTGCTCTGGATGTAGGCCACCAACACCACAGATTTGAATAAAAACACCGCCGAATAACCTCCAAAGCATATAAGATTTCTAAACATTTTCTAAATAATAATTTAAATTATAATAATGCCACCGAAAAAGGGCGCAGCAAAGCCAGCAGCGAAAGGCGGCAAAAACGAGGATGGCGACAAAGGTAATCTTGTCATATAAGGTCAACTTTCCTAATCAACTTTCAATAACAATTAAGACAATAATTACAACCATTACATCTCAATCAGGATGATTTTATTGTTATGATCTCCTCAGGTGGCAAAGAGAAAAAAGGCGGTAACTCAGTAAAAGTACGGCATATCTTGTGTGAGAAGCAGAGCAAATGTTTGGAAGCACTTGAAAAACTCAAAGCTGGCCAGAAGTTCAATGAAGTTGCTGCCACATATAGTGAAGACAAAGCTAGATCAGGTGGTGATCTGGGTTGGATGATCAGGGGCTCTATGGTCGGGCCATTTCAAGATGCTGCTTTTGCGCTGCCAATTTCTTCATTAGGAAATCCTGTTTATACTGACCCACCTGTTAAAACTAAGTTTGGATATCACATTATTATGGTTGAAGGGAAGAAGTGAACAACTATAGGCAACCACTCATACACCAATTGTCGACATTTGGAAATTTTTTTTCAGAGATATTTTTATTAAAAGACTATTTTTGGTCTTTTTTAATAAAACATGCAAATATCCTCAATAGCTTACTGATAAATTCAATTTCTTGCGTATTTTTTGTTGTTTTACAACTAAAACGTGTTACGATGTATATGCGTGCGGATTTTCACTAAAGTGAAAGCCGAAAATGATCATTTTTATCGCGCCGGTATTGTTGTCCTAATTAACTTGAAAATCTTAATTAAGTTGTTCGGCGTGCCGAAGCGGTTTCATTACAGAGCATTAACGCGGAAAATGCCAAGCAACTTACGCGTTGCGCTTCTACACGACACTCTTTTTATTGTTTTCAAGTTTTTGCACTCATCGTGCACGACTAACTCAAAAACAAATTAATCACATATACAGCACTCTACAGAGCGCATAAATTAACCAAAAGTGGTTTGTATTCTTATATTTTAAACTTTTTACTTCAAAAAACCATTAAGTGATTAAGAAATATTTCCAATTACAGATTGTTACAGTTACAAAGCCGCCGACAGCGTAGAAAACAAAAACGCATAACAAAACCTGTCAAAACAGACGAATTAAACAATTCTTCAACGTAGTAAACTCAAACAACTAAACTTAATAGCCCAGAGGTGCATTTGATGATGAATATGTGTTAATATAAGACACACAAGCCGAAAGAAAAAAGATTTCATGTCGGTTTTAATTTTTATTTTATATAACGCATCCACCCACAAAACATCAGCTTGTTAACTTAAAATAAATTATTAATTCCGCAGCGGCTTAATGAGGCTTAAGATCTGGTAAGCAGATACGCTCACATTTAGGACTTGTAAAAGTTGTGGGATGATGTGTGCTTTGCATTTTATCCGGCGATATCTGCCCGATCTGACCGGCATGTCTTGTGAATGGTTAATTAATTCAGATTTTGAGTTTCCGGTCGAGACATCGCATCGTCCACTTTTTTCTCATCAATTAATGTTAAAACACACATAACTCATTCAAATTACTTCAACTTTTTCGTTAATTTTCAAGTTTTTGTGAGTTATTCATTAATATTATGAATAAATCAAATCTACTTTCTTTAATTTTTGTTTTCGGTGTAAATCTAAGTGATATTTATCCTGGAAAGGTCATTTTTAATTGTCTAGCTCGTTAAACAAATTTGTCGCGGCAATTTGATGTGTTTTTTCAGTGTGTTTATTCCGTTATAATCTCAGTCATTAGCAATTTAAATAAAATCTCCATTAAACATCCGACAATTTGCCATGGCTTTTTCTGCACTGATCTTTGCTTTGCTGACCGATTAATCTATGATAATCTTCAATTCGAATTTACGCAACATTTGATTAACCTTGACATGGAAAAGCGTCTCCTCTTCACGACACATACAATGTTTGAAAAACATGAATATTGCAAACAAAGCGCAAACAATCATCGTGTTCATTAGTGGATTCTTCGGATAACTTCAATCATGCATACAAATTACATTGCGAAACAAAATACCAACGAGATCTTCATTAATTGTTATTTATTTGTACAAGATATTAGCTGCTTTCATTCAACGCATGTAAAACTACAATAAATAATATTTTACGTGTACGAGTATATCAGTCGACTTATCGGTTTTGGTTCTAGGAATTACATTGCAGTTTTTAGAAGAAGTCGTCTCGTTTGTCGTCTAAATTTGGTAGAAAAATAAAAATTCAAATGCTTTTAAACACGCAGCTCGGGGTTAGTATAGCGGACGTATTTCAACAGATCTTCATTCTCTTCGCAGACGAAGGGCTTGCGATGATGGCAGGCAACGTCATGCCAGTTAACACCATCCTTGTAGAATTGATTCAATACAGCCAGGCAGTTTTCAGTGGCTCCACCTTGTTGGGCTTCACGGTTATCCGGCTGTGGTTTACCAATGCCGCCATTTTCGGACCAGTCATTCTGTTGGCGGTTGGTAGTCGGTGCCAGTTTCTGCAAAACAGCAGTCCAGAACCATCCGTTGACAGCCAGCGGCTGGAGATCCGGACGGTCACAACCCTTGAAGTCACAGAGACGGCCCGAAGTCCAAATGTATTTCACCTGTAACAATAACATGAATGTTTTGGATAAGAAGTGAAAACAAGATGGCGTATGGTGATATATACGTGCAAAAGTTGTACGCGGTTGCGAAAGTTTTGAATGTAGGTAACACGCGCTCTTTAAAGGTTTGAACTTTCTTCGGTTTCTTGGTATCGACAATTTATCACGTAGCTAGCTTGGAACGTGGTAAATGTTAAGTGCATCGCGATGCGCACGCACACAATAGACGTGCCTAGTTGTATTTTCAACTTACATTTTCGTTGACAATCCTCTGCTTTATCCATTCGTTCTCGGGGGAAGTCTCCAGGGAGACGAGGTCCATGCAACGCTGACGGCAGTAGTTACGACCACCTAACCAATCTTCTTCCACACCCTTGAGGGCTGGTTCTCTCCAGCTGAAGAGATATCCTTTGCCTTTTTAATAAAAAATATTTTTGATTAATTTTTATTTATGTTTTGATTTTTATGAAGACTTACCATCAGGGGTGCGTTCGTGAATCTGCCTCTGAGCACACAGAGCAGGTACCGGCGGTTCCAGAATCCTACCTCCGGGGAACTGCGCTGAGGCAATGCCAACGAGGGCGGCAACAACGAAGAGGAAGCTTTTCATTGCTGAAGTCGATTGTGTGGTGCTCGCTCGAGAGGTCGCAGCGACTATGGACTACCCGAAGAGGACCATCAGGTATTTATACGAAGGTGGGGCCCGTGTGCGTCTTCGCCGGCAATTACGGCACGCACATCGGGGGATAGGTATGGGTAATCTCACCTTGAACTCTAATGATTCTCGGTCGGCGCACGGCTGGCGCACACCCGCCCGAATGAGTGAAAGCTGTTTGTGGATAATTAAAAAAGCATAAACTGCACGACAATACACATCTATTCCAACGATTAGTATTTCGGCGAAAACCGATCGCCAAATTTGATCGATTGTTAACGAGCATAAATTAACACCATTACCAGAGTTGTTGCAGGTACACCCGAAATTTGTCATCGGAAAAAAACCGCGCGCCCATCGCGAATTTCTGTGTCACTTTCTCTCAATGGAATGAATTTAGTTTACCATATCACGAGTGCGCTTTTTTACTACGTCGGCTGAATGCCGGAGACAGAGTTGTAAAGTGAGTATTGTGTGTTATTGTAAACAAAACCACTTTCTTTGACCTTGTCGCGTCTTCGTGGTGCGGCCTGGCGTACGTGGCCCACGGGTACCTTCATTACAAAATCCATTTACGGTCAAAGTGACCCAACGGTACCTGAATCAATACATAAAGGCAAATATCGTACATCGAAGACTACTTTTACAATAGATTTGCGTGTCTCGGCTACCTGATTCGGTGAAATCTCTTCGAATGTAAAATAATTTCGCATTTTTGCCGCCATTTTGGTTTAGACAACATTTTCAAGTAAAGGCACCTGCTAAAAAGTATGAATTGAGTAAATACTGATGGAAAAGAGAGAGTTGTGTAACAATTATGCCACAAGAGTGATAATTTTTACTGTCATCGACGTGTGTGCCACAAACGTTGTTTGCAAATTCAAAGTCAATATTTATTCATTCAAGAGTTGCGAAGAGACGTTTTCAGTTCCGCTTCTGTCGGCGTGAATCCTAGCTTCAATCACATGACATCACTGGTTACGACATTTGCAACCTGTTCCTGATTAAACGCTTCGCACGCGGCTTAATTATAATTACGTGGTGCGATTGTAGAGTAACTTTAATGAGTTGTACGTCTTGACTGAATTGACGTCATTGGTATCCATGCTTTGCTTTTGTTTCAAGTGTTTATGACGCATTTGACGAGATTTGTTACGCCTCCTCGTCAATAACTTCTTGTTAACACGTGTTTTATTCCAAATTTGTAGATTATTACAGTGTAAAAAAGTAATTACTAGGTTGTTGTGAATAATTATGTTTAAAATGTTTAAACTCCAACCTACAATTTAAATTATTAATATGTTGGTTGAAGACAATGTTATACTCACGCAAATAATTGATTTTCTTTTGTGTGTGTGACCACAGCCATGAAATTTTAATTAACATTTTCTGGTTGGTTTTCTTCGCGGTTATTTTCCAAAATGTCATGTTTTGTCATTTTGCGCCCGCCGAACTTTCTATTGTTTGTTTTTAGTACTAAATTACCATAAACAGTTATTACTCTTTGTAATAACATTAGCTATTGTTTCAAAACACCCTTTGGAGACTATTAATACAGGTTTATAAACTTAAAATTCAATTTTAGTCGCTTTCTTTGTTGATTTCAAATATGGTTGCAGCTTGCCGTGAAATTTAAGTAGCGCCCTCTACAATTTTCTTGTATTGAAGAGAAGAACCAAAAACGACGGTTATTTTCTCAAACAGATTCAGCTGCGCGCATTTATCAACACACATCGTTTCAGCTGTCCATGAAACACTTCGTTGGCATTAATAAACGTGAAACACTAATTCTACGATGGGTATCACCGGAAGTAAAGTGGCTCAAGAGGATAAAGAAGATGTAACGGCTGGTAGTGTGCCCACAACGCCGATTTTAACCCCGAAAGTCAAAAAAACCGTTGAGGAACTTGTTGATCCGCGGTCACCGAGCTGCAGCATCCTTCGTACACCAATTGTAAGTGTATTCTTATCCTATATTAATATTATTATGCATTATATAGATTTAATTTACATTTAATATTGTATATGTAGACTTCTGCAAGTCCACTTACACCAGAAGCAAACACATGTGACACATTCAACATAAATTCTCCAGTGTTAATCAAAAACCTAGAGGATCCAAGATCTCCAACATGTGCTTTCACAAGAACACCCATCACTGCTGTAGATGATACAATAGACTTGCTTAAAAGAGTACAAATAAGAAACTTGCAAAACATCAAAAAAGTCATCAGTGATATGCCAAGTCAAATTCCACCAAAACTACTTGAAAGTAGCCCAATTCACAGAAAACCCGATGAAAACAGGCGAAAATCATTTGTTGGATTGCTTGAGACCAACCTGGACTATGTAGAGACTGATTTAGATGCTGTTATTATGAGTAAATCATCTCCAAGTCAAAATCAAATCAAAAGTGTTTCTCCCAGTAAAGCTGAACTTAAAGCGAAATTTCTGGAGAGTGTTGAACCAGAAATTGAACCAATTACATCTACACCAGTACAGAATGATAAATCAGATGATGACAACGTTCTAGACACAATAAAAACCGATATTGTGGATGATGATGGATTAATTACACAAAAAGATACAATTTCCACAGTTCAGGAAGCAGCAGCACCTGAAATAATCAATGCAACACCTAAAAAGATACAAATTGAAGTGGAATCTGAACCTATCACTGCAACAGTACAAGAATTTGAAAAGAAAGTCAATCATCTGATTTACACTGAAGAGGAACACATCATAAGTACACCTCCTGTCAATAAACATGCTGCATTACAGGCAAAGACGGCTTCCAACCGAACACCTCTAGGTACCAGAAACGGTAACAACGCAACAAATGACGCCAAGGTATTTGCCAAAAACAAGCCGAAACTTCGCGTTAGTGATAAACCGCGTCGCGCGGATTATGCAGTAAGTAAAATCCCCGTTTTTAGTAGTAAGAATAAAGCAGAGTGTGAAAATACTCCGCCGCGGAATATGCTTGATGCGCGTAAAACACGACGCGCTCAATGGGATAGCGATAATACTCTAATTATTTAAATTTATATTGACTTTCACATGTTTTGTGTGCGTTTTTTCCTTCTAATATTACTAGTTAATTGTAATTTATTGTTTAGTGCTTAATACGCGGGACTTGACTAGAATATTTGTTAATAATTCTGTAATAAATTTTAATGACAAGGAAATGTTCTTGGAAGACATTTAATTTAAACTTTGTGTCATGTAAAAATAATTGGTTATTATTTTGTGTATTGTGGGTTGCCTACGTTCAATCTTTGAATGTCTTTCGAAACACAATTCTATTTTGTTTCTTCATTTTCTTATCCTGATGAATAAATTCCTTTGATAATACAACTTGTGTGGGTACTAACACTCTATTACCATCTGTGAATGTTTTACAACTTTCATTTTTCTCAGTTGTATCATCAAAATCATCTCCCTGGTTTAATATTATATCTGTTGGTAATTGAGGTCCATAAACTTGTCTTGTTTTGATGGCTATTCTTACTTTTTTAACATCACTCTCATTTGTACTCTCTGTGTCAAGTTTATAATGTTTATTTGGCTGTGCATTGTTAGACTCAACTGTTTTTATCCTTGGATCCAGTTCTTTTGGAACATTCATCCATGCAACCATTGGATCCACACCAGCCATTCTTTCTTCAGTGATTTCCACAGCTGGTCTTTTTCTTTTCCTATTAACTTCTTTAGAAGATCCAGTTCCACTTAAACTTTGTGTGACTTCTTTAAAGCTAGGTCTTGGAATGTGTTCTCCATGCAGTCTTTTAAGTACATCATAATTCCTCTGCTCTAATTTATATTTTAATTCTTGGATGGTTTCATGTTCAGGTGTGTAACAAACATGCAATACTCCACCATAGAATGATTTGTTATCCAATAACTTCTTTGCTATTCTTGCTGACTGGATTCTTTGGTATGAAACATGGTAACATTCAGTAAATGCTTCTGTTTCCACATTTTCCACAACATGGATTGTATTTAGTTGTCCATATTTTGTGCAGAGAGATTTCAATTCATTTCGAAGGTTTATTTTTGGTACACCATAGATGTACAAGTGTTGCGATTCTGATGTTACAGTGTAGACTTTTACAGCTGTTAGTTTTTTGCCTTGGCGATAAAGTGGGCGGTTTGTGCAGAGATTTTGTTGAATGTGATGAGATGTGTCTGGTTCTTCAGTGGTATTTGCAGTCATTATTGGGAAAAAAGACCTAGAACACTTAAGAAATACAATTGAATGTAGATGTGAGGTTATGGTAATGTTTGGTGGAGGCGCCACTTAAAAAAAATTTCAAAAATTCAAAATTTATGTCTCAATATTTAATAATCGGAATAAGTTTATATAATAATTAAGAAAACAAATTTCTTTTATTAATATGAATGGTTAACGACTTGTTTTGTAGTTTTTTTAAAGAAATTTACTGAAAACAATCAATTTTTGTAAGTGTCCACCATTTTTTTACCATTTTTTAAAATTCGAATTGCTTTTTATTAAACTCCAATATCAAACGCAAAAATTTTTATTAAAATGTAAATTTCTTCATAGATGATAATGATAAGACATGCAGTGTCGGTGTGAGTGTGTCCACAGAGGGAAAAGGGAAAACCCCTTGCACGCAGAGCAGTTCATCGACCTCGGCACGGCCCCGGCGCACATGTGCGTATCGTAAGGGAAGTTTTTCCACCCCACGGGCAGGCGCGGCGCTTGGCAACCCTCGGCCGCGATGCGCGCTATCAGCGGAGCAATGCGCAAGGGATAATTCCACATGATATTTACGTCACTTATCGGCGCACGCTGGATGCCCGGCGCGCGCATGGCGCTCCGCCGCGGCCGCCGCGACGTCAGTCACGATAGTGCACTCACCCAATTCACCCACGCGCCGTATCTCTCTTCAATACCTTCAACTTTCTGCTCGCCGCGAGCCAATTTACACGACAAAAAAACGCACCTCACGCGAAGACAACACACCGAAGACCAAAATGACTACCGTCGAGGCATCCTCCGCTACGAATAAAAGTGTTTCTGGAGAGTTTCACATAGCAAGGTGAGTACAACACTTAGATAATAGACATTATAGGGTATTACGCATAAAAATCAAAAATCGCAACATATTTGATTCATTAATAATCAACTGGATAAAATATCATACATACATTCAAGTGTTATGAAATGAACCTGTTAGTACCGTGCTGTTATCTTGAGTAATCAATACTTCAACAATCTGATATTTACACACCTTATCTAAATCTCTCTACCTGGAATTAAACTACTCGTACAACACGATTTTTAATTCTATGTTTAAAAAAAAAAGGTAAAACTGTAGTATACTCATCGGCTGCTGCAGACTCCCGTGAGGATTTCGATTTTTAGCTGCGCAAGGGCCCCGAAAGTCTCAAACATTGAGTCATATTGTTTTATGTTAGGGAACTCGCAAGTTGTGTGCGTGTGGCACCGCACGCTAAGTAGACACTCGCATTTATCGTGCGTAATTAAAGGGATACTCGCTGCGGGGCCGGGATTTTTAAAAGGGAGGAGGGTGTGTGTGTGTGTGTGTACACTACAAGAACGCGGCAACAAAAAAGCGACCCTTCTTGCGTTCTCGCAGGGATGGATACAATGGGGTGCGTTCAAGACATCAAACTCACGTCATATTCAGCGTCATAGATGTATAAACAAGTCGTTCCCGATTTCAAAGGGAGAAGAGTTATGCATCATTTTCACGGGGTGAAAAATAAAGTAGAATGTTGTTTAAATTAATAAAATATTGAGTGGGATTCTATTTTTGGTGCCCGGCGATCGATAAACAAGCAATTAATTCAGTCCTTGTAAACAAACAGCGCTTTTCAATTGATTCATTAACACACCGCCATATTGCTATACGTGTAGAGGAAGTTGCCAGGCTTGTAGGAAGTAATGTGTGTCGGCTTGGTCAAACGCGACACCGCTCAGCGCCGAAAATTCTTATCGATCGTCGGTGGTTTTCTGCTGCGAGCACGCCGACCGACTGACTCATGCTTGCTCGCCGGGCGAATGCAATATCCGGATAGGGGTGTTTCGTATTCTGGTCACCCACAGAAACGACTTGCAGACATGTTAAAAAATTTACACGCTCCCATTGTCTACGCGTTGCGTAATTGTATCCAGGAAACTTGAGAATGAGACAATGCAAAAATCGATACACACAGTATAATACAACAAGAATCACAGCAAAAATTTAACCTTTGATTATTTTTTTAGGAATGTCGAATCTTCTTCATCTTCTGAAGCAAACTCAGAAGAAACATGGCAGGAGCCATCGCAGGCATAGCAGTCGGAACAGCAATTCTCAGAAATGGAGGTGGACCCACGGCCGTTCCGCCATGGCTGTGATGATATGTGGGCATGGTCACGGTACGAACGCAGCCCCGAGGTGAAAATCTTCGGCAAGACCTCCAACGTCGCGCATTTTCATCCGAACTGGAGCAGTGGTACCGCCGGCGTTCGTGGGACACGCGTGCTTAACAATGGCCGCTATTTCTGGGAATTGCAGTTAAGCCAGCGCATTTTCGGCACGAGCATGATGTTTGGTATTGGTACCAAAAAGGCACGTTTACACGCCGATGCTTTTACCAATTTGCTTGGTGAGGATAACAACGGCTGGGGTTTGTCGCATAAAGGCCTGCTGTGGCATGGCGGCCGGTGGTACCATTATACAAAACCCTTTCGGGAGAATGAGGCTACGACTATAGGCATCTTGTACGACGGCATTGCCGGCACGCTCACGTATTACAAAGATGGTAAAAGTCTAGGTGTAGCATTCAGAGGTCTCAATGACATTAAAGAGAATCTCTACCCGATTGTATGCTCGACAGCGGCGAAAACGGAAATGACGCTGGACACCATGAAGCGTGACTTTGTCAACCTACAAGACAGGTGTCGTGCAGTGATTGTAAAACGGGTTGCATCTAAGAGGGACTTAGATAAACTGCTGGTCCCCACGCGGATCAAAGCGTATCTGGGCGAAGCATCTTTCCCGTTCAAGGAGTTCAATCATAATTTCAATTTGTGAGCACACAGTTGTGATGGTGGCGATTTGATTGATTGAATGTTAAGCACTCTGCGTCATGTTTTATTTGTTGCTCGTTTGCAAGCGTGAACTGGAATTTATTCAATCCGACTGATTACCTATACATTTACGTACGTAAGTTGATAACGTCTAGTCATTTTATACTTTTCTACGTTTTGCGAAACGAGGCGATTTTATTCTTTACCGCTCTACATACTACATGTAAGGCATGTTGTTGAACAAAACGAAAAGCACCTGTGCCCAAACAAATATATATTGTAATTTAAGCTCAAACGCGTGTGGGTTTAAACATTAAATGTTACAAAGAAAATTTCGTAATGGAAGGCCGAGGAACGAATAGTCGAATTAAATTTTAAGCGTCTAGTCATAATCTAAGTCATTTCATTCTACATTGTCAGGTAGAATGGATTTCAATGTAAATAAAACATAAACCAAACGTGTAAATATAATTTCTAGGTATAAATTGTATTGATTCTTGTAAGTAATTAATCGACCGTGGATTTAATCCAGGTGCCATATTTGTATAAACAATAATTTCGACAATCGTTTCACAAGCGATGAATTATTTATTGTCTTAGCAGCGTTTCTAGTACAATTTTATTGCGCGAACGATGCGACACGGTGGTAGTTACCAAATATGTAAATAAAACTAAACTAGCGTAATTCATTTATAAATTAAGGATTATATACTAGCGAAATAACTGTTTTGTGATTCTTATTTATTATTCTATTGTATAACGTAAGGCATTATTTATTAGATTTGTTTTCTAGCGTTTTTCAATTGGCCATTTTGTGCAATATGAGATGATAATGAAATTGGATGAAATAGAGTTTCGCATACCAGGATTTGTATGTGGAAGTTTATTTCGAATCACAATGGAGTTTGATTTTAGTCATAATTAATGTAACTTTCTGTGCTGTAATAAATGGTTTATTTTATAAATGCTGGTGGTTCTCATTTAACAAAATCTTTGTTAAATAACTACAGGTGTTTCTTTTTTCTTGCAATTAATTGCTAATTTGAATACTTTGGCGCATTTTTATAATTAATTAATGTTTTCATATTTACAAAACGTCGGTAGCAACTTTAAGCAGTAATAGTTTTGTATTTAGTTCAATAACAATTTATTTTAATCAGAGAATTAATTCCTATAAATTCATCCTGGCGTCCTCCAGCAGTGAATTGTTGAGTTATTAAACAAAATCGGCCATTTATTCCATACGGGTGTTGCATTTGTATTTTGTGATTTATTCCGTGCACGTGTGAATTGTGCGCGCTTCACACGAACACGGTTTAAGTGCAGGTAACCGCACTGCCACAGGTGTAACTTCTTTCTACCACACCCAAACAAATTAATGGTTGTGAGTAAATAGCTTTATGAGGCGCTGCATAATATGTTTCGTAAATAAATACTGATGGCGCTTATAGTGCTGTTATTTGCATTAAATTTTTGTTTGTTTGTGTGAGTGATGAGCACCTGTGTCCGTGTGTAAATGGTATTGCGAATGTTTTTTATTTCCTATTATATTTAATTCAGTATACGTGGATATAACTAAAATGTTTAGTGTTGTTCTTGCAAAGAATTGCTGAGTACACCACACAAAGTTCTGAGTGTCAATATTTTATTTTCAAACTTTAGCCATTTTAGGATAGTTGCGATAATAATTTCTAAGAATGCTATATAAATTAAATAATTATTTAATACTACAATTAAAGTAACATACTTGATACGTTTACGTTTAATATTTTTCAAGTAAATCAAAATAAACATTCAATTTCATTTCTTTTGCCTGTTTCTGGGCGCAGCAGAATAAAAATAACAACTCACACTACTCCTTAACATTCCAAGTGATCTTCGAATGCAATCATGTCATGCAATATGCGATCTTAAAGTAATATAGAATCTCGTGCGTTATTTGCATGTTTTGTTTCGGGTTTATCAACATCACCTCAACGCCGAACTTTTGTGCGCAAAGTCCGGCGCAGGAAGCGGCGCAGCGGAACAAGTTAACGCGCAACGCACGCTCAGCATCATCATTCAGTGCGCGCGTCAATATTCTGCAGTTACACCTGCCACAATATTGCCACAATTTATTAAATCAGTAAAAAAGCGTTCCACCATGTGAAAAATATTCCTCGAGGCACTCATAAGTAAAGTTTTGCATTATTTTCATTTGCGCCTTTTTATTAAATCTGTAATTCGTACATTTGCATCGCTGCATTGTTTTATACGGCGTTAGACGCGTCTTCTTTGTATTATGGCCGCTATTCAAACGTCGTTTCTACGTTCTGTAACCACCAAGCTTGCATCATCATAAATCAAATCATGTACTTGCAATGCGCCCACTGGGAAATTATCTGGACGTAATTTTATTGTGCAATCGATGAGGTATGGGTGACCGCAGTTTCACCTCCGCGAGGTATATGCGGCGAAGTTGTCAGCTGTTTGTTTGCTTTCACATGTTTCAATCGGTTACTTCGCGGCAGTAGAGTGCCAATTGTGCAGCACTGCTAAGGCAAAGAGACGCCATGTTTTGTTTTGATTTTAACATTCCAACACCCATTCGGCACTGCTGATAACGCACTCTTATTTTTTATTTTCTAGCGTTACATTTATCATTTACTTATTCTTTAGTATTTTGTTACATTTTAATTTGTTTTATTTCTGTTTATTGCGTATGACGTTGTTGATGGTGTGCATTGGTGATCGGTTTTTCAATCCACTTCTTGCAAACGTTCCTGTTTTCAATCGCAGGCATGTATATATTAAAAAAATTGTACTACTAGGATTATTTAATCATTTAATTTTTCTACTTCCACTTTTAAGATGTTAGTTTTTCTACGGTTTTGTGGCAGAAAAAGTGGTGCTTTACACATGGAATGCAAAAATTGTGACTAAAGTACTTTAATCACGTGTTTTAGTCACGGCGTGTTGCTTGCGCCTGCGTATTTGTGACTAAAGTACTTTAGTCATGGATTTTAGTCATGGGGTGACTGCATGACTACGTGACTATGCTCACTATTAATCAATCTCGTGACTAAAACTCCCCTTTAGCCACTTGAGGCTTAATATAGCATAAATCTTTAGAAAATGTTCACCCTTAAGTACAGGGATCAATGTACCTTTTCACCCGTCACATTCCAGACGTTTATTCATTTTCATTCATCTTGATTCCAAGGAGTGACATTTGAATATTTTGAATTCTGAAGTGAATGTAATTACGACTTGTCCACCTATTTTATGTCCCCACATTTACTTTACGAAAAAGCTCCTCGCCAAAAAGTTGCGCCAAACTCTTGCAAAGAAAAAGCAAGTTTGTTTGCTGGTTAGCCGGATTCCTTTGACGTTCTTCTCGGGCGCGCTTTTGTTTTTTGCGGATGTAACATGTCCGAGAGTCGAGTGCACGCGAGTAGCGTGTCCACTTCTCGTGTCGCCGGTCGTGTTCTTGTTGTGTTCAGTTAATACGCATTTTCGTCCGCACGTAATTTTGTTGTGTTGTCGGTCGGCGGGGCGGCTGCGGTCGGTGTCTCAAAAGTGAAATGCACGCCGGTGGGTTTTGTCGGCTTGGCACTCGTCTCTGAATAGATCTGTCACTTGTCACTCACGCACAACTTTTCACGCTATTTAAACATGATAAATCTTTGAAAATGTGGGAAAATAATATTAATGCGTTTTCGTTCTCATCAGCCGTCTGACGGCCTGATGCAATCACTAAACATAATTATGTATGAGTAGTACATCATTTCGGCATATTTTACGTACTAGCTTTAACCCACGGCTTCCGTACGTGTCTGTAGTCACAGAAGAAGTAACAATGAAGTAGAATGGCGGGAAGTTTAAAATGGCTGAAAGTATAGTCTATGGAAGTATAGTGTACAGTCTCCATAGTGTAGTCAATTGGATTTGATGTTGACGTAGCTGTCGGTAATACAGTGTGATAATACAGTGTGATGGTACTATAGTACTTAGGTTTGAGCTTCATTGCTGGAATGCTAGATGGCGTTAAAGTAGTCAAATAGCCAGATGCAGAGGTATTATTGGCTAAACAATTTCTTTATTTTATTTTAAAAATAATTTTTTTTATTAAATAAAAAGTAGTCTATAACCATTCGGGAACCACTAAGAATATGTGTACAAATATTCATGATGATCGGTTAAGTAGTTTTTGCGTGAAAGTGTAACAAACATCAGGACTTTCGCATTTATAATATTAGTAGGGATTTTACGAGGTGCGCGCGAATGTTTAGTATTCTTTAATCGATGATTCTTAAACCGAAAAGTTCGCAAACTTTTCGCATCAAATACAGATTAGAAGTTTGACTTTTTAAACTTTTTGCACGTCAGCGCGCGGACTTTTAGTTTGTTTAGAATTTTGTTGGAAAAACAAGTCGGTTGCTAACGTGTCGAAATGTCAATTAAGTTATTTTCGTTCGGTTTCGCGCCTTCGCCGTTGTCATCGGGCACGGAGAGCTCGCCGTCGACGGCGTCCAATTAGCGCGCATGGCGTTTGGCGTTATCTCGGCGTTATTCAATTAATTAATGAATTAATCAATCGATTAACTAATCATACGTTTCCTGTCTGTTTTACAGTTACATAATGCTTGTTTTCACCACGTTTTTTTTCTTCATTGCAACCAAAAGTTTCGCAATTAAAACACATTTTTGATTGATTATTGTTGTAAACTGTGTGACATTTTTGGAACACGTAAAAAATCAACTCGCGGTTTAAGAATTTCATCGCAAACTAGCGAAATATTTCGTAACTTGTGCGAAAATACACGAAACGTAAACAGATTTAATCACTTCCAGCATAATCAACAACACATTGCAGTTTCGGACGGTTTCCGCAATAATATTTTGGCTACAGTTTCGGCTACAGTTGTTTTGCTCTACTTAAATAGAATACTATTGGCGATTTCATAGATCTGTGTGTTTCTATAAATTCAAGCAGTGCCGCTATTATTAGATGGAAGTCATACGCAGTGACATTACATTAGATGACCTTGAACTTTCCTATCGGCGTAAAGTTTAATGTTTACATCAATTGGTCGATTTTGAGCGCCAGCCAGACCGACGCGTGTTTTATCGTTCAATAAATCGCCATTTTAAATTACAATTTGTGTGACAAATTGCATTGCGGAAGATTTATGGGTTGTTTGACAAGATAATAATATTCTAAGTGTTATTAATCACAAAGAGTCGTAAATTATTTTATCTGTAACTTGTTGCAAAAAAGGTCAAATTGTATTTTAAGCATCAAGTAACTAAAAGTTGGCTTTTGTCACGAGATTGATTAAGTGCGAGCGTAGCAAGCGTCACTTTAGTCACCCCATGACTAAAACCCGTGACTAAAGTACTTTACTCACTTTTTCTGTTTTAAAATAGTAAAAAAAGTACATTTTTGTTTTTTCTTCTTTTGGAAATCAGTCTAAATTGTTTAAGTTGTGGTTAATTAATGCGCAGCACGTTTGCACTGCAAATATATCAGTGGTTAGCGAATATACAGAAATGGGTACGTTGGCCTCCCACCTTGAGGTGCACTCCTTTATGGCCATCATTTATACGTGTGCCTAACGTGCTGGTAAACTTGCCACTTGGTTGAGGGAGCGAATTGTAGTCGCGTCCGGAGTGCGAGAATTGCCGCGAGTAATGGGGGATGGAAGGATGCAATGATAGGCATGATGGAAGAAGGGACGTTGGCAGCGGCTCCTGTATTGCAGCTGATCTCCATGAGTGTAGTCAATTTGGTTGATGTTGACGTAGCTGTCAGTAATACAGTGTGATAAGCTGGTGTAATGATGGTACACTATAGTACTTAGGTTTGAGCTTCATTGCAGGAATGCTAGATTAGCGTTAAAAAAGTAGTCAAATAGCCAGATGCAGAGGTATTATTGGCTAAACAATTTCTTTATTTTATTTTAAAAATAATTTTTTATTAAAT